TGCCTTATTAAGCCCAACGTGGCCGAGTTACGTCCGCGCGCTTGGCGAGACCGGCGATCCGCAGGAATCCCTGCAGACGTATGTCCCTGCACTGCACGCAGCCAAAGTCCGAACTCGTGACTGGATAGCTTCTGCCCACACTTCTGTACAACAGAAATATCCTTTAGTTACTCAGTGAGCGTTTAAATGGAGACACATCTGCTTAAATTTGCACTCCATGTTCCTCCAAAAGGTCCACAGGCTTGTCCGTGGACCTTTAAGGGAACATGGAGTTTTAAGGGAACAATGCCGTCTTTGTCCCTCGATAAGAACGGATTTGTGCTCATTTGTGACCTCACGGTAGGATGTATAGCATGTGCCTGCAGTGTGAAACACTTGGTGAGGTTGATGCAAAACCTCCAAGGGGAATTTAAGAGAGGATTGTTGTCTACCGGACAAATGTTTACAACATGTTTTACCACTACACAGTTAAGACAACATACATGTTTCACGACGTGTATGTTGTTGCTGCCCCCCCCCCCCCCTCCCCTCTATACTTTCATGATTACGTGCATAACACACAACAACAATGTTTCGCCGGGATACCTTTTGAATTAGGGCCCAGCATGTTTCTCCACAGCATCTGTTGCACATGCGCTTTCTCGGGAAACCCCTTTCCACCTCTACGCCTGTCTGCCTTCCTCTCGCCTGATGGATTTAGCACAATGCGCCCGCCAAAAACACCATCAAGCTGTCCGTGCTCAGCACTGTGAGTGTTGGAGGGTCATATTCACACAAACTCATCCAATCAGCACATTTCCTCAAGTTTGTTTTCTTTTACTAACATATTCACCTGTTTGTTCCAGATATTATGGCATTGTTTTATGCAACGTATGCAGAAACAAAACCTCTGGCGAGTTGGGCAACACACACACACACACACACACACACACACCCGACACACATTTACCGGTGGAAGAGGACTTCCTCATATTGTCTGGCATGTTGATGTAGGAAATCACTTTGATTGATACCGCCCCTCTCCTCCCCGGCAACCCGCAGCTCACACTGAATTAGACGTTGAAGGGGCGTCTTTGCAACTTTTGAATGGGAGTGTGTGTTTCTGCCAGTTGTTGGCTCTCAGTCCTCTAAGATTTCTTTGCTCCCTGAGACAAGCAACCTCCATTCAAATCTCTTTTCAACACATGATGTAAAATGCTGCCTTTGTGTGTCTTCGCATGGGTATGATCAAAGATGACAAACTGGGGGCTGTTTCAGATGTTGGTTCAGCAGCCACCCATCTTCTTTCTTTCCACATTTGCGCTGTGTCGTATTTATCGTCTCCTATTTTACGTTGGCACACACAGTTTGCAACATGCATTTCCTTAAGAGAAGATGCCAGTGCTGTTGTTGTGTACCTTTTTACAAGCATTGCTTGCTTGCTGACATGGGGGACGCACTCTGCAGGTGCTCTTCCACTTTCTCCAGATCTATATGTAAGAGTTGTTGGGGATTTCTAATTAAACACAAACCGAGACAACCCCTCCGTCCCAGTTGCAGCACTTCTCTCTTGCTCTTTGCACCGACGCAGTTCCACACGTTACTCTCATCTCCTTCCTGTTTGTTTTTTTTCTGAGATTTCTTTAGCGAGTCTGAGCGGAAACGAGTGCTCCTGTTTTCGGTTTTCGGCCCACGATGCAATGTGACGGCCGCCGCGCACAGGGAAAGTGTCTGTGCACAGATATGTCTCACAGGAGAAACTGAATCATATCACATCAACGCTGAACAGTCAACAGCCGTAAGGGAAGTTGCCTTAACTGGCATGTGGCTTTGATATCGGTAAACAATTTCACCTTGTGGTCTATTTATTAGCACCTTTACTGTCCATGACAGGATGTGATGGCAAAAGAAACGCTGTGTGCCTTTTAAGTCAGTGGTATTTCCCTACCTGACCCACTTTGTTCAAATGATGGCAGAGGATTTTGCTGCCGTAAAGTCCAGAGTTGAGGTCCGAGACGACAAGAAAGGTCAAAGGGTCGACTGCAACAGCATTTGTAACCTATAATCGTTTGATATATTATCCCTGCTTTGTGTTAGTGTACCGTCAATAGCCTCACACACACACACACACACACACACACACACACACACACACACTGTTTAGTGAATTAGTTTGTGTTACTTAAAACCAGAATTTCCTCTCATTTTTTTGCTGATGTTTCTTAGAACAGTGTAGTCTTGCTGATTGTGTTTTTGTTCTGAGCTGGTTGTTTGTAAAGGGTGTGGATGTTGTGGTGCATCTATAATTAAGCCGCGATAAACTCTACATCTCTCTCTGTATCTGCTGATCTAAATATAGAGCGTCTTCGGCCCACTCATTCCGACAAAGAGGAAATGCTGCGCGTGTGTGTGTGTGTAAACTTCTGCACTGCATTCATAGTTCCCATCAGAAAGGTGCGTGCACCCAATGCCTTTTGCATGCGCGCGTGTGTGAGGGCCAAAAAAGGCTTTTCTTTGTGCATGTGAATTATATCAAGACACTGCGGGATGTTTGTGTTCCTGTCTCCGTTGTGTTTGTGAACAAAGAGGGTAGAGAAGAGAACTTCTGATACTCCGAACAGGGGACACAAGACAAAAACAGAGGTGTGGGGGGCGTATCTGTATGGAAGGGGGGGGACAAGAGAGTGAATACACTGGAGGCAACCGGAAACTTGTGGTCAAACAAGCAGCGTTCGGCTGCTGAGACAGCGCTGCTAGCCGATCGTTTTTTCAAAGCACAGCTTTTCTTTGAGAGGGATCGGGGCTGATCCGTCACACCAAATCCTTTCATTGTACAGATGCAGCTTGTGGAATGACCCCCGCGCTCTGTGTGTGTGTGTGTGTGTGTGTGTGTATGTGTCTGTCAACTGGAAAAAGAGAGAAAGAAAAAAGTTGTGAGTCAGAAGTTAAAATCCAAATGCATCCAGCCAACCAAACAAGACTCAAACCGGTTATAACTCTTTGACACCCGTGTGTACGACTCCACCTCCCCTCCCATCCCTTCACCCCCTCTTCTCCCCACTGACCAATCACTCTCTATCTCCCGCCCCCCCCATGTAACTGTGTGTTGTCACGCGTGTTAGTTTCAGTACAGAGAGTGTGGACGACAGACCTGCGGGACACAGTGAGTTCATATATTATCTCTACTCTGCAGCTGTTACCGTTTGTCTTATAACGGTAGTGGAGTATTTCTGCTGTGCGTGCGCCGTAAATATTGTGACCTTTTAATTTATTCAAATTGGGGGCTGAGATGCTAGCTAATAAGTACCGTTGAGAGAGAGCAAGTGGTGTGTAATATTTAGTTTCTGTATCTGAGGCTTCTCACGATACAGTTCTGGTGTTTATAACACAAGGAATATTATCAAGGCCACACACTATTGTAATTCTTAGTAGTTTTATGAATTTGCCCAAAGCCTGAACGTCGCCATGACCACTCTGCATTGACATGATGCAGGAAATGCACTGACTTTGGCTATTTGTTTGTTGTGATTTGTGTTGTATTTTAACAACGTGAAGGATCTGAAGCAAATCTTTTGGGATGTTGTTTTCCTATTGATCAAATAAATGCAAATTTCCATGTGAATTTAGTGTTGCGCAGAATTGAGAGGTGATCAGAAAACTACGTGGGTTATAAGTTATTCATAGGAACATTTTTTGTAGAGTGTTGGGGAGGGCGAGCGTGGGACAACTGCACCTCCCGTCACCTGTAACCCACCAGTGTGTGCTGGTAGGTGTGTATTTGTAGTGAGAAAATGTTCTTTTAACTATTTCAAAGATACAGGGGGGGAGTCAAGTCTTGCTTCTCATATCCTGACACCGCCGTCCCTCTGTGTACTTCGTTTAGTGCTTGTTTGAGCATTGCAGCTTGCCCCCCCCCCCCCCCCCCACAGCTCTTATGGGCGCCTCTGCTCTGCGGACGTTTGCGCTGTTAAGCGACTAAACTTTGACTCAGTTACCACCCGGGCATCAATGTTGACTGGAGTTAAAATGGTTCTTACACGTAAAGACCCGCACAGAGATGATATATTATTGACCCCCTGCCTGTGTAACGAGGGAGTTTTAAATAGCTTCATTCAACGTGAGAGCAAGCACACAGAAAACAGCCACCAAGTGACTGTCTGGTGTTTGACCTCAGTGAAAGGAAGAACCGGTCCGTCTTTCTGCTTACAGATAATCGACCCACAATGCATGTGAGACATGACCAACAAGATCCCGTGGAATAACGCAAGCAGTACCTGCAGCATGGAGCCTACAGGTATGTAGAACACACACACACACACACACTGTACGCAGCAGTGCAGATTTGTGCGGACAAATGAGTTGCAGACTTAAACCCTCTTAAACGTCTGTGTTGTCAGCCGGCTGCTCCCCTACATTTTCAGAGTCAGATCTCTATCGCAGCGTCATGGCTGTGCTGCCCCGGGGAACGGACCACCAGCATCCCCAAGACTGTCTCAACAAAGGTACGAAATACCCCCTGCAACATTGTGAGTTTTATCCGTCTGCTCTGCTCACGTTCAATATGTGAGATCTCACAAACAACACAATCTGATCATGTCACATGGCCTTAACTTCCTCCCCTTAACTTCAAGTTCAATACATCTTTTGCATAGACGTCACAAAACTCTCTCGGTTTCCAAGGCAACTTTTAGCCGTATCAGCAGTGTGACCACCCTCCAGTCATTAGTCATCGAACTCCAGTCATGCAATATCAAAGATTAGCGCTGTCTCAGAGAGTGGCTGCCACGCATTTAGCAAGTCTGTGTTGGCCCTGTGGAAACATAGCATCTGTTAACGGTGTGTGTGTGTGTGTGTGTGTGTGTGTAGGCATGCTGAGGTGGACGCTTCATAAGAAGGTGCAAAGCAATCCTGTGAACAGCTCATCTCTAGTGTGGGTGCTGATTAAAGAGCTGGAAAAGGTACTTGAGTCCAGCAGTGAATTTGTTGACACTTTGACACTCAAAAAAATATATATACTCTATATATTTATACTTTTTCTTCTAACAAACACAGAAATGTGTGTCTGGCTGTTGTTCTCTAGCGGACTTAATATTTACTGATTGGATTTGAATGAACTGACCACATGTTTTCCCTGCAGGCTGAGCGATGGGACTCTCGCAAAAGCATCATCCCTCTGCTCCACACACTGATGTATGCCATCATTCAGGTACAGCATGCATACATTGCAGGAAAAAGTAGGAGTTTCTGCACTGTTACTACAAAAAGTACTAATTTTGGAAAAAATCTCAACAGGCAAATAGATATCAGAGACGATTACCTGCAGACCTGCGCTTGGTGTTTCCTTGTATTTGAATAATGTTCAATGTTTTTTTAATTGTTATTTGTATATGAAATTCCAGACAGCCTACATTCCAGATGAGCTGTACAAGCGGGTTTACAGCTTTTGCAAGAGACTCCTGACTTACCCCCAACCGTACTGCACCGTGGGGCTCAGCTACACGAGACAGATCAAAACCGAACGCTCCACTCCAGGTATTATGCAACACTCAGCTCCACGGGGGGGGGCGGTTCATTTTTTAGAACTGTCATCGAACGTGTTCAGAAGTGTTTCGAATATTTTACGTCCCCTTCTAGTCAATCCAGAATCACAATGCTGATTATGTAATGCAATGAAATAACCAATAAAATGTAATGAAATCCTGTGTCGGTGATCACAGCAATGATTTGCACACTGTCACTTCCCACACAGAACCATCACTCAGGCGGGTCAATTTAAGAGCTATATTTTCTATTACCCATCCTGTCGGTAAAAAAAACTATAATGAATTGATTGACTAAGATTATCTTACACTGAAGACTTTACCAGTGAGGGCAGAGCAGCCGATTTCTCCCTTGACATTAAGGAAATAAATGCCAGATTGTGTTTATTGAGCTGTTTATTCTTCAAGCAGTTCAGAATGAACAGTTCATTCATGTGAGGATTTGCAACCACAATTCCGATTTTGATCCACAGGTCTGATGTACCAGCGGATGGTCACAGCCGAGCAGAGACTAAAAAATGAACACTACCCGCTTCAGGAGAGGTGGGTCACGAATAAACAAAAGAAGCCTCGGGGTGTTCAGGTAATTCGTATCCCATTCCCTCAAACTGCTGTGAAATCCCTGCAGGGTCTTCATCCTGGCCGATCCTGAAGTCTTCTCAAGCTCTTTGGAACAAGTTGTGTCCGGCGACATTGAGGCGTCCTCTTTGTTTGCCGGCGGATCTCTGAGTCCTTTGCATCACATGTGCAGCGTGGTCCAACACTCCATACAGGCTGCTCTAGGAGCCGAGCAGTGCAACGGGCCCAAACTTGCTCGAGCCCTGAAGGTCAGTGGAACTGCACAAAGCTGTTGAGTTGAGCTCACTCGTCGCCTTCCCCTTTCGGATCAGGTTGACGCTGCAACTGTGATTTCTCCTTTTCTGAGCATCTACGTTCAGTTTGCAGCACCTTTTGCATCGCGCCGTTTGCTCTCTAATAACAAAGTCTTTATAGTTGTTGCTGGAAAAAAATACATTTTTGCAAGGTATGTAAGTGTAAGTGCACCGAGGATTCCGAACAAATGGCCAGCACAGTAGTCAAGAGACCGAGGCGGAAGGTGTCTTTGTAGAAGTTTTTAATAAAACAACGTAAATACCCACAGGATGTGACATGACACGTTGATCTCTTCTGTTCAGTCTCCAGTTCATCCCATTGAGTCTGCTTGTTTTCACAACATCTCCTCATATGTAGTGATTTTCCGCTTGAATGCACAATCCCGCGTGCTGACTGTTGTTCATTTTTAGAAGAAGACCCTTCCACAGCGACTCGAGTCAGCAGAATGTGGTGGGGCTACATTCATGGTGACTGCAGTAACTTTTTAAAAATAGCTTTGTGAGTCCCTGCCTCATATGTACATGTTGGGTAAAACATCCTGTCTGTTGCTGGCACCGATCCTAAAGTGACACCTCGGCAGAAATGGAAACAAACACGCCACACACCAACCCCTCACCTCTTTGCTATTAATACAGACTCTCTGTCTGTGTGTGTGTTTCTCTTCCTGAGAGCATGCGAGTTCACCCTGCGCGCGTGTCTGTGTGTTCCGGCACAGGACGTGGGTCAAGATGTGGAGTCACACTTCCAGGAAGTGTTGGCGGCTCTGCAGCAGAGCGCGGAGGAGGGCGGCCGGGGGGACGGCGCAGCGCTGAGGAGCCGTCTCCAGCGGCTGTACAGCAGGATCGTCCCCGACGCAGACTCAGGTAGGAGCTCTCTGGGGGGGAAAAAAAAGGAAAAGCAGCAAAAAGTGTGCGGGGGCGGAGCCTATCGGAGGCCCGGCTGCCAATAAACGTCGGTTTCGAGTGGAGGCCTCAAATGCAACGAACAACAAGTCTCTGCCATTGAGCGGCGTCAGACGTCTGTTTTCCTTTTTGTGGATCATTTCTAGCTTTAGACTCTCTGTATATACAATCTCTGTATATCACACTGTGAGGTATGAGACTTTTAAATGATTTATCTGGCATCCCAGTCAGAGTTACTGAGCATTAGTGATGGCTCTACTTCAATTCAAGCAGACGTTGCAAGTGAGGGACACGTGTTGCTTGTCCACGAGGGCTGGAGGGCCGTTGCTGTGATCAAACACCTCGCCTCTCTATTGGACGGCTTCCTTCACGGGTCAAATCGGTCGAGTCAGTCCTCTGTATTCTATTTTTAGTATCCCGGATATCTATTTCCGTGGCGTCCACTTATCATGTCAGCATGAATCCGCATCCCAGCTGGGAGAGAGGGGAGGGAAGGGGGGGGTGGGGGGGCACACCAGTGTTCACAGACAGGACGTTATGGAGCTTGTTTTTGTTTTCAGTGTCATTGGGACAGTTTTGGCCTCCTTCTCCACTCACGTGTGTGTGTGTGTGTGTGTGTGTGTGTGTGTATTGCAGAGCCATTGTCCTGTGGACGACTGTGCAACAGCCCTCTTCCAAACCCAGAGATGAGCTTCCACATGTGGACGGAGCATCTGGATATCTGTGAGTGGATCTGTCTAGAGGAAGTTATATCTACCCCCGTCAGCTGAAACTTCTGAATACAGAACTGGATAAAAGGAATAACAAGTATAGTGTAAAAACTGGCAAACCATAGAGGGAGAAATCACATAACAGCAAAAGTTTATTCCCCAATGGCAGCTTTGATAGACGTCTGCCCAAATTAAATTCAGAGCTTTTGAAAGTAATTCCGAAATACGTCACAAACGACTAAAGTAAAAGTAAGTTTGATGCGGATGAAAAGTGCAAACATCAATAAAAGTTAAAAGCCCAAACACAAAATGTGATGATATTGTTGTTGATTGTTTTGAGCCTCCTCAGGGGCAGTTTCTATGGATTTTTGTGTAGTCTGAATTAATGTAACTTAAACACCAGTAATAGCTATCTTTGCTCAACTGTTAAGGCTTTACAGAATCAAATAACACAATTATGACCCTGCAGTCGTCCAGGAGTTCAGCAAAGCGTAGAAAGTGACCGGAGGGAGGCTCGCTGTCTTTGTCAACCCCGGCTCAAGGGTTTATCACAGCTGGATTCACTTAATGTATTAAACTGATTCAACCGGAACAGATTTTAATTTTAATCAATGGCGCCGTGAAACTGACCGTGACCGGGACGTGTGACGTATGCGCTCTGTGCTTTATGTCTTACATGAGATTATCGTCACGCTGTTAACTGTAAATAAAGGACAGCGATTATTGCCTCTGCATTAGATGTGCTGCTGGATAAAAAGCATTACGTTGTGAGGGGTCACAAGGTCGGCACTGGCTAAATGTGTGTTCACTTGTGAACAGACTTGTCCGTGTGCATGAATTGAAGTGCTTTCCCTGAGGGAGAGCCGGCATGTGTACCCTGCAGCTTCATAACAGCCAAATGCGCTAAAACAGCTGAGTCAGACATTTTATTATTTTCTCATGTGCCGTGGCGCGTGACCAGGCCTCTGACTAACGCGTGTCTGGCGGCCTTTGATATGTCGACAGGGCGCGTGCTGGCCAAGTGGTTTCGATCCAGCTCCGTGTCGGAGCAGTTCCCCCTCAGCCAGGAGCAGGATGACTTGGTGCTGGGTGACTCGCCCAGCGACCTGATGCCGTCCGACATGACTCGCTTCTCCGTCATGTCCATCGACAGCGGCATCGAAGGAGACCTGCCCCCCGGCGCCGATCCCTCCCTATCCTCATCTCTGGACTGTGCCGGCCTGAGCGCATTATGGGAACAATGCAAGATGTAAATGAATACTTTGTTAGTTTACATAAAGATGCTGTACATGATGCCCGTAACCAGTATCTGGTTTTGTACTACACTGTAGTACAAAACATAGATTTTTTGTTTCTCAGAGCCATGTTTTCACAATGGGATCTCCAAAACCTGTTCGTAAAAATGTATACAAAAATCTTGAACATACAAGTTTGTAACAATACATACGAACTGCGGGGGTTAACCACGCCCCTTGAGTGAACAACATGCCCAACCAGACCATGTCGGATTCCTGAGTGAACGTCTCTCCGCCATGTTGGATTTTTTGAGGGGGTTAGGGTTAGTATTCTATTCTTACAAGTTAACATTGATTCCTCGTTAAAAATGCAATCATAACACATTTATTTTACATCGTTAGAAGTGTGTTTACGGGGTGCAGGTCCCCATTCACTTTGAATAGGGTGACATCATTAGTTGCAGTCCGTATTTATTTTGTATGTATTACTACGAATTTGTATGTTCAAGATTTTTGTTTACATTTTTACGAACAGGTTTTGGAGATCAGGCTGGTTTTCAAGCTAAATCATCTTGAAGACACTTTATATTAAGTTGCAATTGGTTGCAAGTGGTTGTCGAATCATCTTGCCATATTGCAATAATTAGGACCTAAAAAGCCCTCTCCCTGTTCCCAGTGAGCCAGAGCCGGGGAGGCTGTCCCGGCGTAGATGCATCAAGATGAAGCCATCGGTGAAGGAGAGCATGGTGCTGATGCAGGACACCCTGCAGGAGAACGCCGGCCTCGGCGGCGTGGAAGGCGGCGGAGGCGGTGGAGGGAGGACAGGAAGACGAGGGGCGACTCTTCAGAGGCGCGCAGGGAGCAGCGCGACGCAGAACCCCTTCCTCAAGCAGCAGAGGCTCTTTACTGCCAGGATAGTCGCCATGGGAGACGACAGGGTGCTGGGTCGCCTGGCCAAGGTCTACTACCTCTTCAGGTGAGAGACGCTTCGGATCACAGGATGAAAATGCTTCTTCCGAAGCAGCTGGATCTTCCTGTGACTGCACCAATGCACTTTACTGCTTTACTGTAGATGTATTGTTGAAATAACTCTACGCTGTCATGGAATATATTATTAAGAAAATAATCTGAGATCTGAACTGTAGGAAGAACAAATCACTGCCTTGCATTTACTTACTCTCCATGACCGCTTCAGGAAGCCGAACAGTACTTCTTCTATTGATATAGTGATAATGTTGTCTTTGCAGGAAAAGGGAAGCGCGTAGGCTTTTTCTTACCATGAAAGTCAACCTCCAGTTTTACTACATCCCTGTTTGCTGCGCAACAACTCCCGTCTCCTCCACGAAGGTAAGGCCACTTCCTCCTGCCTGCTCACAGTCGCTCTCTCGTTGTGTGATCAAAACAAAGGATCGGGCTTTCAAAATGGCCACTTGCACTGTTGTCACTGTGTTTTCATTTCAAATAAGAAGATATGGATTGGCAGAATATTTAAAACATGCAAAATGAACCCTCACAAATTTGGCAAAGAAGAACTTGAAGAAGTAAAGACATGCAGTAGTCTTTGTGTTCCCTCACCGCTGTTGATTTGATTTATTTTGCTTCCTTTAGGAAGACCTCCATCAATCCAAAGAAAACCTCTGCACTCTTGGTTCCTACTTGAGCACGGTGGACCCGTGGTACAACTCTAACATCAAGAGTTTAGGCTGCATGATCCCTGAGCTGGCGAAAATGGTACATTACACTTTTTCACAGAAGGCCTGTTAGGTGGATCCTGTGTTTGAGGGTCTTGTGAGAGAGAAGACTTGTGTTTAGTTTGGAGCCTTGCAAAATCTTTGAAATTTTGCATTTGTGAATGATTGAGGTTTGCACGGTGTTTTAAGTCATGTGGTACGTGAAGGATGAACTAGTTCCAATTTAAACGGAAAAGCCTTATGGCGCTTTCTCTTACTTTATTGACTGCACAGATTTCTTTTGACCTTTTCGTGACACATTACAGTCACTTGATGTGACTAAAATGAGTTTTTGGTTGAAACGTCATTCTGAACTATTTCCTTCCCCAGCAACAGATGAATCCTGGGAAGCCAAAAGAGCCCTTTGTGTCTGATGTCATCTCCTACTACGTTCGAACCGGCCAGCAGCCGGTCTATTTCACCATCTACTTTGTTAAGGTAGTATATGACACGCTTTATGTGCATAGTGTGCTTTCCAATGTGAAGCATCAGCAGAGCCAAACAGCTTCATAACCTTCCCACAGTCGTCCCATTTCTTAAAGAGTGGTTTGTCTTCTGTTAGATCACGTTCAACGCCATGTCGAAGGACCCCGTGGAAGACGTGTTTCTCACCCACCTAGGAATGGAGTTCCCTGAGTTCAGACAGATATCACAGTCCATTAAAGGTGAATTGATTATACATGAGCATTACTTTCCTAACGTTGTGTCTGGTCTGTGTACAAACCTGCGTCTATATCCGTACACAACCAAGTTTAACAGCCTGCCTGTCTCTGCAGCGGATAAACACAAGAGGGGCTCGGGGGAGATCTGCGGGGCTGTTATCTCCTTGAATTACAGAAAGGTACGTTTGTTTTCTTTTCATCCATTGTCATGTCCTCGTGTCATCAACAAAAAAACAGCATTGGTAGTTGGCCAGTGACGACTGTGACCTAAAACAGTGGTCCCCAACCTTTTTTACCTCACGGACTCATTTCATGTCAGACCATATTTCGCGGACCGGTCGAGAAGGTCCGACGGGGGGGGGATGTAGTAGTCGCGCGCTCTGTGTTCGCTGGTGCCGTGTAAACTTGAAGAAAAACGCCGGGTGACGCGTGGGGAATATGTCAGAGGGACTTCAAAATAAATGATTTTTCAGAAAAAATATGTATAAAGCCTAAGCTTTCCGTGATACGGACCGGTACCGGTCCACGGACCGGTGGTTGGGGACCACTGTCCTGAAAGACAACTCGCGCCTACGGTGACTCACGCTCTCTGAAAACAACTTTTTTTTCCTGTTTCATACCGCCAGTAACTACCTGTTGACTCCTCACTAGGAATGACAGTGGGAGGAAAACCACACACTGTTTGCGTATGCGGAAAACTCTTTGGGGCAGTGTGTTTGACTGACAGCTAACTGAACTACACTCGCAGCCGATTCCTCAGCTGCTGCTCCGTGGCCCTTCACAGTGACTTTGGGCCTTTTTTTTTTTTGTCATCGACCCTCAAAATAGACCTAAACAACGAAATAAACGCGTAGAGTTGCGGCTGCACCCGCATCTGCGTGAATTCTAATGTGAGACGTGCGACCGACAAACCCGTCTTAAGATGGCTGTGCGTTTTGTTCGCAGAGGTCAAGGCGGACATACCTGGCGGTTTGCATATTGGATTGCTGCCATAGGAGCAATCGTTTATCGCTGTGTACTACATTGTTAGCGCGTGTATGTGTGAATATGAAAGGCTTGACATTTGCATGCTTTGTTTGTGGGTGTGTGTGTGTGTGTGTGTGTGTGTGTGTGTGTGTGTGTGTGTCCAGGTTACGCTGAGTGGGCGAGACGTTGACAAAGGAATGTCCGTCAGGACGTCGGGCGCTCAGATCACTGCGATTACCTGCAACGAGGCCGAAGGTTCAGCATTCAATACTCACCGTATCTGTGTACATGCACATATACATATATTTCAGGACTATTTTTCTCTGCCTTTTGTCTCACAGATCTGAACTGTTTGACAATGACACTGAATGAATCTCCTACGAAAAGCAAAAACAACGTTCTGGTGAGTTAAGGCAATACAACGCATGGCTCAAACATCTCCTGTGGGCATTCCTCACATACTTACTCACAGAATGTAAATGATCTATTCAACAGTAAGTCCTTTTATTTTTGAATTCCCCAGGAGTCAACGTTTCGGGCCAGCAACATTAAGATTCGCACTTTGGAGAACCGGCCTTTAACTGTTACTCTGGACAGAGACCGCCGGAGGACCTACACAGATGTGCAGAGGTAAGAGAGTCCAGCCTTCAGCTTTACGCTGCCGAGCAAAGGTCATTTTAACAACATGACAGTGGCGAGCGCGAGCACCAGCGCCACTCGTCCAAGAAGCAATCCTCACTCAGTAGAATCTCTCATTAGAGAGGAAAACGTTGGTGGAGAAACTCCAGGTAGAAGAGCTGAGGATCAACCTGAGGAGGTCTCATGATAACGCCATTATTTGCTTCCCACGCTTTCTTTTTAAAACATTTTTAAAACACTTTTTTCGTGTTGGAATAAATGTTACATATATTGAACAACAATCTAGTGATACACTTTTGATACATTAAATAGTTTTGCATTGAATCACACTGGGATGTTTGTTGAAACTGACTGGATGGCTCTACCTACCCTACAGTTGACATGATATTGCTCTGTCGGGGGCTCGCTTGTTTCACAACTTGATCGGCATGCATTTCTTGGTTGGAGTTTCGATGCAACGCTAACCGATGTCCCTATTTCCAACTGCTTCTGGCTGCAGCCTCGAGATCTCCCCGTGTCTTGATCCCGGCTACTGCGTCCAGAAAATCATTCGGTCCAAGTACGAGTTGGGAGAGTGCAAAGAGGCGGGACTGAGCAAATACATGAACAAAGGACTCCCTCTACCCATCAACACATTTGCCGGCATCATCACTTGACGCGGTGGAGGAAACCCACAGAGAAACTTGAGAATTAACGCCATGGGCGTAAATCCAGTCGGACACATGAAAAGACAAAAGGCTCACACACAAGGTGTTTCAGTCTGTTTGATGCCATGAAAAAAGCAGTGCCATGAAAACACAGTACTGTTAGGATTGGAGTACGTTGTGTTACACCGCTGGGTCATTGTTGATATCCAGTGATTTTACTACTGTACATAGTTTTAGTAAATCCAAGCAGATTGGATGGCCAAAGAACAATACTGCCCAGCCGCGGAATATAAGCATCGAGAATAGAAGATCTAAAAGATTTTAGAACTACCAGCAGGCTAAAAACCCTGCAGAACGGAGGTAGCTTTTGTATTTTACTGTATTAGGCAGACATATGCACGGATTGATGAGCATAAAGTAGCTTGTGGGACTTGCTGCTGTCTACTGGCCACAAGGATCAGCCTGAGACCTCTGATGGAGGTCAGAGGTCTGACAATCACCTCCGACCTCCATGCCCTCACTGCCCGTTTGTGCAATTATGCATAAATGTCTTGAACTGAATGTATTTGCACTAATACTGAAAGTTTTGTATTATTATTTGTAAAGGACCTTTGTGTTAGGCATGTAATATGGCTACGTGCATTATTACGTTGTTACTAAAACAACGCAAATTTAAAAAACTGGATGGTTTTATCACAGATGTATTAGAATACAGACCCAGGAATGTCTCTGGAGACTATTTTCGATGCCCCCAGTAAAGGTCAACCACCTCATCAACTAGATGTGATGTATTATTGAGTGCACGACATAAACACAGGTGTGTGTCTGTATGCGTGTGTGCGTATCGCTCTCTGCTGGCCTGGCTGGTTAAAAATCAGGAGTTTGACATTAATGATACATTTTGCACCTTATTTTTAATCTTGCTATCTAATGACGCCATTAAAATCAAATTGCCGTTGTGTGAATATGTGGTTGTCCTGTAAAGCAGAGTTTGTGTCTTTATAATAAACCACGTTTTTTCAACGGATTGGAGAGAAGTGGCTTTGAATAGTTTTGCTGTAAGTGCGCCCGGCGGACACCAGATGGCGCTATTCAACTACCATCCACCCAGCCTGGGCACAGGTTAACACGGGAACGGTCCCGACCGACCAGCAGCTGCTGAGCCACCGCTGGAGCATCTCGCGCTCTGCGCGTCCACAGGTCGGAGTGTGACGATGAAACGCAGCAACGAGCCTCCTCCAGTTCACCGCTGACGGTCCGCCGCTGAGGAGGGAGAAGAAGAGCAGCTGAAGGAGCGATGGAGAAGAAGATGGGATCTTCTCATCAGTACGGTTCACTGGAGCGCACTGAATGGAGCAGAGACACCAACAAGCCAGGTACACACACACACACACACACACACACACACACACATACACATACACATAAGAAATGATTATACGGAATATAATATATATACATGTATATACATGTCAACACACACAATGGGAGATGCAGTGAATTCAATTGTTTATTCTATAGTACATTATAGGTTTGTCTTATCTTTTCCCACAGGAAGGATTACAGACTGTTATTTTGTAGGTTTTATATATGGGTTACTATTATGGAACTGATCAATGTAGCTCTGTATAGCGGCAGAGGCTTTGTAAATGTCAAGAGTCCACAGGTGTTTCTTCTCGGAGAGAGTGTGTGTTGTTACTTGTGTAAAGGAAGGGGAGCCTGCTTGGGAACCTGCACCCTCACATGATGAATAATGACCCCCATCGGGATCTCACCTGAACCTCCAACGGGGGTCAGAAGCTGCTGGATTTGCCGCTTCACAGTAATGATGCTTTCTCAAAATCATGCAGCAAATATGGGAATTTGATACCAAATCAAAATAACCAAATTTACCTTTTGTTCAACCAAAACCACAAAGAAATTGAAATATGAGAAAAGCAGCATATGTCCAGATCAGACAATGTTCAATGTTCTATTCCTCTGAACACCGCTGATGGTTATTGTTATCCTCCTTTAAGTTCACCTTATTATATATTATAAATGCTCGTGATGGCATCATGTTTCTTTGGGTGGTCTGAAGCTGCTCAGGATCTTTTTTCCTTCATCTTACTCCTCCTATCCTTCCCCAGCGCGCCTCTGGTTCATAACTTCCTCATCAGCCCGCCTCCTCTTTTCTCCATTTTTACATTCCGGCCGCTGATCTGGCTGCCTGTAATTGCTAAACCAATTTGTTTTGCAAGTATAAAAAGACACCGAAGACGTTTTGGAGCAAAGACCGTAAACTGGGCTCATGATTCCCATCTTGGGCTTTGGATCAGGAGAGGCGACGTCGCTGTGAGTGGCGTTGGCTGAAGCGAGGAGAAGCAAAGGGACACGTGAACTGTGAGAGAGAGAGAGAGAGGCAGCGAATATAGTGTACCGGAGGTCTAAGGGATGAGTCATAACTGCTCAGTGGCAGAATAACCTGTTCTACAGAGCCTCTGCAGCAGAACACGCTGTCTCTGACGGTATAACAATGTACCGAGCAAAATTGTGACATCACATGGCGCGTCTTCCACCTCACAGTCCACTTCTTTCAGTCCGCTACACGTGGGAATGCCCGATCCCAGACGGCGAGGCGACCGTCTCTCTACGTGGCAGTGCAGTACATCTGCGTATGATCACGATGCCCGAGAGGAGCATCTCCTGCTTCACGAATTAGGCGTCACGCGCGTTCCGTAACCTCTGACGCACAGAGTGAATGAAACTGTGCAATGTGAGATGATGCGTCTGTGTCTTTCTTTTTGCTCTCACTTGGAACAAAGTGAACTATACAGCTGCTTGTGAAATGTCCACACTCTTCTGCATTTTTCGGACATTACCCCCAGGCTTGTGACAGCTGAAGCCTCTGTGACGATGTCACGCGTGGGACGATGCACTTGTCTTACTGACTTGTCACAGGAGAAAAGCACGGGTGGAACTAATGAGGGCTCCGCGGTAATTAATATCCATCTGTCATCGCTGGGCTTGACAGCTAAGGAGAAATAATGGGGAGGAAAAAAAACTATTTTGCTGTTTGTCAAGTTGTTCGTGTCAGTGAGCAGCTTACCGTCTCACGATTAAAGATTAAATATATGCAGCAAAACTAATGATTGGAACCAATGATTGGAAATCATCACAATACGACCAACAGCACGGTGAGATTTAAAATAGGCTTTTTGCTTTATTACCAAGAATGAAATGAGAAGCTTGACATTAAGCATAAAGAAGCATGGGCACGACGTAAAGCTTTAGAGGAGTAGCAGGCGTGGTGGCAGACTCTGACTGGCCGAGAAGGGTTAGAAAAAAAAACTTTAAAACCTTAAGAAATTATTCTTAATCCCATTGACCATCCAAGGGGGACTGCAGAGTATCTTTTAAAAAAGACAAACACCCCACATCTGGTCTTAGAGTTAAGCTTAAGTTTAATGACCTTAAGGTACAAACATAAACATGGCTTTGATCTTCTCATGTTCTGCAATAAATATTCCTCTAAAATTAAAAGGAAGCCACAAAATGCTTTTTTCTTTCACCAAAGAAAAGCCATCCGGAAATTATTTACATTCAGTTCCAAATTGATAAAAATGAAGTATACATAATATCCTTCAGAATTAGGTGGATTTACTATTTATGAGGCAATGTATTTAAATTGAATTAACACGCACAGAAAGGCGTTGGTAGTTCCTGTTACGGTCTTGTTACGGTTTTAATCTCATTAACAGTCACAAACCTGCTGCAACACTTTACTCGCTGCCTCCTCTGAGATGTCAAGGTTGTGTCGACGTCAGCCGCGTTTGTCATAGTTAACAAAGTGCGTGTGAAAGATGTGTGTCCGTACTCCAGGAACCAACTGCAAAGCTTTAATGCTCACGAGTCCATGTAAACCGCCGACTTTCAGCAAACGAGCTTAATACTACTAACCTGAAACCCAGTTTGCATCAGTACGTTACGCTTTCATCCTGCTTCCTTTCATGCTGGAGCAGATGACGTGTCTTCACCCAGAGAGAGCTGCCGTCCCCCCGAGGCTAAATGTGACTAGAATAGAAATATTACACACCAGAGCTCCACTTAGTGAAGGATTTAAGGGCCCCAGGAGGAGTCGGGGAGTGGATGTCAGCGGGGGGTATCACCCTGATTATGTGCGTCCTGGCCCCCACGTCGCGTGGCTCAGTTATCCACGGCCGTAGCCAAATCTTGTCTACCTCCAAGAAGGTCAACCATTCTTTCATCTCAGGGTAAATTAAATCTGGTGTGTGTGTGTGTGTGTGTATGTGTGTGTGTGTTGCAGTTAAATGTTTGATATATGCACAGAACGAAAGTCTGATGCCAGATTGATAGAAAAGTGTTACAGGGCCATTTGGAGTGAGTCCATACATCACTGTAAATGAATATTTCAGCAAAGACTTTCAACTTGGACATGATTTGCTTTGTTTTCATTGACTTTTCTTGAAGAAATATCCATTTCGTTCAAAGAGATGCAGCGAACAGGATACTCGGGGAGCGGTGTTGAGATTGAAACACAGCGTTGCGTTTGATATCCTTGTTCTCACTGTGCGGTATATGATTATTTGAAAGCTGAATTATTCTTCAGTCCACTTGAGACAACTATCACCAGCAATACATGTTTTCTTAGGATCTTTAATGCTTCTGCCAAGCTAGAAGAAAATGAATCTTGCCCGACCCAACTTGGTATTACAACTTGAAAGACGGTTTTCATGACCCTTTTCTGTAATTGCTATTATTATTATTTTTTCCTGTGAACGTAATGCAATGGATTGCAGGATAGATCTGCGCCCCTGTATCTCTCTCAAGCAGGCCACCGCAGCGTAGACAGGACTGCAAAGTGTGTGCTGGAGGAGGAGGAGGGAGCTTATTTACTGTGCTGACCCACCAGCCGGGGTTTCTGCAGTTAATCAGTTTGTGTGGAAACGAGAGAGAGTGAGAGGCACATGACCTGCGCCAACCACGAACACTGGGTAATATGACTGTGAGGCGCTGCTCCATCAATTTGAGAATGCATCTGTTTATTCAATCTAAAACGCATATTCACATGCAGTTGTTGTTCTGCGGTGCCAAATTTGATATTGGATCATTGTCTGTTAGTATTAATCACTGTAACCTCATTTGTAATAAAGAAAATAATCAACAAACACTTTAATATAGTAGTTTTAATATCAGACACGTTGCATATGTGCCACTCTCTCTTTTCCTTCTCTGTCTGTCTCTCCCTTAGAGGACGACGTGGTGTCCATGGCGGACTCCACCATCACCACGGACGACATCGAAGGGGAGCTTTTTAAGATTGACCGGATCAGGGACGTCCTGGTCAGGAGGGAGTCAGAGCTCAGATACATGTAAGAGGCTCATCACTAGCGACACCTTGCGGACTTACCTGCTGTCATGGCCGCTAGCTGTCATGGCCGCTAGCTGTAGCCGGTGTGAATACACAATAATCACGATGCTTCCCTTACTGTAACTAACTGCTAACTTACTTACTTACTACTGTAACTAACTTAAAATGTGTTGTCCATAAATTGGCCGAATATTTCCAAGAAGCAAACACATTGACGTTGATCCCAGTGAAAAGCACTTTGCTAGATGACTGGTTGGCACAACTAGGGTTAAAGTTAGAATTTTCTACATTTTTAGATGCATGGTCTTGGACAACACATGCAGCTACTATTTGGTCACAAAAGTTCACAACAGCTTGTGAAGCCAGTGTACTAAACAAGCCAGAGGATCGTCGCACCCACGTCCAAGCTTTTTCCCATTAAAAGCACTTCAGAAACTCCATCTCCTTGCAGCATCACCCCCCCCCCCACCCCCCGAGCTGGGCCTCAATTAAATTACAACCCCAAATGCTCCCCCGGTGCTGCCGCTAAGCAGGCTGATGCATGGATATTTATTCATCCACTCCTCTGAAAGACGGGGAGCAACGCGGCTCAGGCAGTGCCGTGTTTGGGGTAAGCAGGCCAAAAACAAGCAGATTAAAATAAGAGAATGTGAGACGGGAGGAGCAGGTGGTGGACGGGTGAGATTCCAAACCTATTCCACAAGTCTTGTTATCGTCTGATACGATTAGTAAAGCCTGTCATTTGTATTCCGGGCCTCATGGCCATTTCCCCACCTGCCGTCTGTGCAGAGCATCTTTACGCGACAGGTGGAAGGGGCGCGCTGACGTTGATGAATGTGTGCAGGGTGTGCGAGTGTTCGTGTGTTTCGGACAGAGACTCTGTAGCTGTGGAGTCACTTGACGGGCCTCTAATTCCACCAGGCGAGAAAGGGAAAGAGAGTCCTTGAGCTCGCCTGGGTCAGTAATGATCCTCTGAGAGGGAGGGCCATTGACTGGCTCCGAGACGCCGCGGGGATTCCTCCTCAGAAGAAGATGTTTCATCTCCTGTGTGACATATTAGATCAATATGCAGCTATCTCTATTTGAATTTCATCTTGCTCGTACAGTTGAGTCCGCTCGTCCCTCCGCTTTAAAGTTGAGCGCGCATTGATTTGCTAGTTTTTGTGTCTTTGCTTTCTCCCATTATGTCTGCGAAGGATGGATGACATTCAGCTGTGCAAGGAGATTACACGTCTGAAGAAGGAGCTGCAGAAATTGGTATCCATCCCAGGTAGGAGTCCATGAATTCTAAAAACCGGCAGGGAAATTAGAAGCAAAGTATCTTCCTTCTTTTCCAAGAATTAGTTGATGAGATTGATCCTGCGGTAAAGATGAAGCTATAGCCATCGCTTTACGCAATCGTAGCTTAGCATAAAGACTGGAAACGGGGGGAAACGGCTAGCCTGGGACTCTCAAAAGAAAAACTAAATGTATTTTGGCAACCACCTCCTAAAGCTCACTAAGCTTATTAATTTGCTTTCCTTCAATGCAATATCAATCCAATGAATTGTTTCCTGAATTTCTTGTTACATCTCTACCAGAGTCGGTAATCTGTGACAACCCCTTGATGACTCCGATGTCTTGTGCTGCAGATAATGACAAGTCCAACGAGGACCGTCAGAAGGAAGAAGAATTGCTGCAGCAGATCCACAAGCTGGTGGAGACCAGAGATTTCCTGGTGGACGACGTGGAGTTCGAGCGACTCAGGTGCCTCTATGGACTCATGACAAGTACTTTCCATGCAGGGCAGCACCGATCTTTGATGACGGCAGTTTGTGAGCGCCGGTCGTTGACGTGCTCATGATGACTGCGAGGGCTCAGTTACCAAGAGTGCAGAAGTTGTATCTCAGCTCGGTGTCTCAGTTTCAATGAAAGATGCGTCAGCGTGCGGCAGTGAGCGCGACCAAACGAGCTGCCATTGGTTGAAGAACTTTGCAAATGTTTGCTTCTCTTTCGGTTTCTTTGCACCTGCGACGTCTGCGGTTGACGCAGGAGATGAAGGGAAACTATCTGAATCCTTTCACTTCTATTCTGACACACATGTTGTACAAAATACGGCAAGATGCACGTCGTATTGTTTGTTTTTGGTTTTCTTAATGCAGAAGAGTCAAACATATTTTCACTTTAAAGTATGATGTAATGAAATGGGGGCGTATTGTAGGTCACATAAATGTAAGTTTAAAACCAATTATACGTATAACCTTACTGCTCAGACGATATAAAGCGTCGGTGGTTTGTGCTGTCAGCCGGCAGCACACTGTGGGAACACGGGGGGGAGGGAAGGTGCTGTTATTCATCTCTTTTATTTTACCCAAACTCTCAACAAATTGCAATCTGCAGTTTTTATGTTGTACTTTTTGTTTTTAGAGCAAGACAGAACATAACATATAGCAATGCTACAGAGAGCATCACTAAAGACATCCAAATACTCAAAAATGCAAAGTATGCTTATCCAATAGAAGAGTCTCTTTGTAGACAAAGAGTTGCTGCTGGCTTCATTGAGTTTAAGAGTGGAGATTAAATCTTCTCTAATAGCAGAACTACTTCAGGCGAGAGTGTTTCATCCCTCTAATGTTCATTCACTGGTTGTAAAATAGATGGCTAGCAGGCGTAACTTGACTTTTACATCTGCATACCTGTATATTTCACTTTTGTGTGATCTACAATGTGCGGGGAGACTTTACATCATGGTCCATGTGTTTTATATGTTCATGCATTTACTTTTTATTTCTTTTTGTGTCAATCGTTCTCATTTTCTGCAGGGAGAAAGAAGAAGACAAAGAAATGGCAGATTTTCTGAAATCCAAATTCCCAAGAACTATGAGGAAGAAAGGTACTTTAGCACGAGGAGTGCCGCCATTTTGAGCTCAATCAAAATACTAACAAGTAAAAGTATAGTTTTAGGAACTAAGGAGGGAAATAAGCAGGATCGAGTATTTCCAAATGTTTGGAATGTTGAAGGTGTTTCCCTTCTGAGGGCTTTGAACAATGAAGCTCCACACGTCTACTTACTGATCCAGCGTAAAAACAAAAATGTTTGAGCTTTTTTTGATCCATTGACAATCAATTGAAGACTATTTCATCTTTTTTTTTCTCAATTCTCTGGGCTTCAGGTGCACCAACCAGACGGGTGCCATCCAGGTCTCAGCAGGCCTCCTCTCCCTTCGCCAAGACGGGCCTCACCCTACTGAAGGAGTGCTGCGGCTTCACTTGCTCCATCATGTAGACCGGGGGCCCCCGCTGCAGGCGCTGACACAGGGGCCCACAACCTAGAAATATCTTTGAGTTTCAGCCCGACAAAGACTTTGGAGCATGGCTGGAGCAGTGCGGTAGCATTTTGACAGAGGGAGAGGGGGAGAAACGGATGTCGCAAACATCACGTGCTGATTATCGGATCTGTTTGTCTCTTTCATTGGATTTCATCACCCAGCTCTCATCTCAAGGCTGTTTTGTTTTTTTTACTCATCACGGCCTTCAAAAAGAAACTACCCAACCCATTATGTCTATTTCATATGTTTTTGCAGAAAGTACGTCGGAGGTCAGGGATGTACTGTGTGCACACTAATTTAAATCAACTATGACAACATTGAGATTTATATTTAAGACAATACTGAACTATGATAACTGTACTGTGTGAATGAAAAATAAAATAAAAAGTAGATGTTCCACAGGACTCAGCAGGCCAGTTCACACACTGCTGGCAAACAGCAACACTAATGAAACTGACATTAATCAGGAGGTCTCTCGGGAGGAAGTTGCCTCCACTTTTAAATGAGTACAACCTTTTGAAAAATGGTGGTTAGATGTCTAACGGATGTCTCATTACAATTAATGACAAACCGATTTTCCCATTATTAAAAACACATTGAAAATATCCTAGAAATGCTGAAGAAGAAGGTCCCCAAAACACTGCAATCTGTATGAGCTAATTTATGTTTAGGATCATATAAACGTAATAAATGGACGAGAGTATTAACTCTGGGTTATGTCGCATGGTAGCAATGCAGTTTGGATGACTTTACATAATGTTACATCACTTGTTGCATTATTAGCGTTTGCATTATTCTACAATTAATTTGACTTAATTTCTTAGCATGTAAGATTTTACTTCACAGACATCAAATTAGTTACAGACAAACATTGGCACACCTTTTGAATCGGATGTGCAGACGGAAAATCTGATTATTTTATGGAGCGTACCCTGATAATCCTTGAAAATGTCCTGGAAAATCATCTCTAGAAATGTTTGGGAACTTGGCATCCGCATTTTCAAACTCCTTGAATACACTTAAATGAGTCATTCTTGATCCATTTCACTCTCTTTTCTATCATCCATATCCATGTTTTCTCAATTGGTTTGGATCAGCACCCAGCTCACACTGGTATAGTAGTTTATATGTCACTTTTTTCCAGTGGGTATGTTTTGTTATGTTTAATGTTTAATCTGCTGTCAAGGTGGGGGGGGGGGATTCTTCAGCCAACTTACACTTTGCATAAACATTCTATAGTGGTCAAAACCCAGTATTTTGTTAGTCATTATGTCCTTACTGGGGGTTAATGGGAGGCTCGTGAACGGCCTGCGCCACATAGAGCCGTTGCGTTGGCACAGGGATGTGGTGGCCAATCAAACTACAGAGCACCTCGGTGTTGCCAAGAAGAATGGTCACCATAGCAACCAATTATATCCCATATATGTACAATGCGGACGGTTGGATGGAACGGAGGGATGAGACCTTTTGGATTGACAAAAACAAATGCTCACTCACAAACTTTCATGGTTACCTAATGGAAGGCAAACATGAGATAAGATCATATGATATATTTTTGTTTTTTATGTGGATAAACACATTTTTTATATTTGTTTTTTCTGAGCCGTGTTTGACCATCGCCTGTATGCTTTATTCCTAACCATTCCTGAGGAGGGATACAGCTGTCTCCTCTCTTAAATAACTACAGCTATTGACATTCAGTCTGAAAACTGTCGTAGAGGCTTTGGGTCACATATCGCCCAGCAAGCGTGTCGGGTGCTGTCATGATGGGTCACAGGAGAATTAGATGTGTGCCGATACTGTTGAAATGACAGCCGCTGGAGAAAATAACAGATAGAACCAAGGGAGGGATTTTCCCTCAGTGTGTCTGTAAGTAACAGATGGAAGGACACCCTGATGGCCAAAATTGTCCCAGAATGTTGAGTATTGTACAGAGTAAACCATGTTGCCAAAACATAACTATTATATTTGAGTTTAAATAGAGACACCGATTTAAAATGGTATCTATCGTCAGAGATTAAGTCAAGTTGGCCAGTGCTTCTTAAGCCGCAAACTAATATTCCTTTTTCAAGGCCGCTCCCACAGTTGATCCGCACAATGGACACATCTGTGACAACCTTCATGTAATCAGTGATTATTTATTCGGTGTGTGATCATTTTTTTGTTCACATTTAGACACAAAACCAGCCATTAAACATCCCATGACTGTGCTCCGCACAAGTTAAGTGATGATTCAAGAATTTTTGTTTTGTGGAGAGAGGGAGACAGAGGGAGGGCACAGCGTTGGCTGGGAGGAAGGGGACGGGGTGTAATCTTCAGTGTGAGTCATCCTTAGTGAAAACACTATGAGTTCCTGCACGGGCAGCCTACAGTAAACGCTACACGTGAAAAGGGCACGCCTGTCATTCAAACCCCACATCCTGTGCCCCACCCCCCCCTCGCTGGGAATAAGAGGAAATGGCACATTTGCTAGGAATAAATAAATGAGAAATAGATTAACAAGGAGTGTAAGTTCACCTGTGCTTGTGTGCCAAGAAAACGGAATCTGTCACTGCTTTGTTGCCATGGTTACTGTGATTTAATGGCATACTTTTACTTCTTGTTTCATTTGTTTGTGCGGTGCAGAGGATTCTGATGCAAGGCTTCAAGACCATATCAGCGTACGGGCTCTTAAATGTTCACACTTAAAAAGCTGCCAATGTAATAAATGAAAGCACAGCTCATTGTTGTTATAACAAACCTCAAGTGAAATATTGCGGAAAATGTGGGACATATTGCCGCTCATTTTGTCACAGAAGAAGGAATCATGAAAACATTTGTGATCCCCTGACTTCCCATCTGGCGCTGCCATCAAGTCAACACTCGCGGTTCAGAGTGAAATGTCTCAACAACAACAGAAAGCCATTTATATGGTGTTTGGTTAAAGGAGAATCAGAGCATTGCAAACCAGCACTAGCTTGTCGAAAAGAATATTGGAGTAATTCTTAGCTGTTGTTTGCACTATTAGGGCTGTTATCACTATTAGCTGCAGTTTAAGTGTCAGGAAAGGCTTCTTCTCTAACTAGATGTTGTGGGAGGAAGCTGCCAGCGAGAAATCTGCTCTGCCAGCTGAATTGTCTTTCAAGAAAACACTGAATCCAAATGTGTAAAGTCGGCCTTCAGTATGTAGTTTTATGTGATCTCACATTTGCTGAAGGGTCCGTGTGTCTCCAAGGACGCAGAGCAGTGAGACTTAATTAAAAGGGAAAATAGGAAATGCCTTGTCCCCCCCGATTCATTGCCATGGATACCACAAGCACAATACCCGACACAGGAAGCAGAAAGGGATCATGGTAAGACATTCGTCCCCCCGCTCAGGAGGCAGAAGAGATGATACCATCGCAATTGTTAAAGTAGAGGAGTTTTTTTTTCTCCTATCCTCGATGCAGATGTGTCAGCGTTCCATCTCTTTGTTAATGCTCGCTGACATTTAGAAAATATAGTGCAATAAACCAAGGGGAATTATTACTGCACAACTCAACATGTGTGCAGATTGCGCTGCAGTCTAAGGAATAAATTATTATATTCCTGGAATAGCACAAAAATGAACCGACCATCAACCTTCTTTTTGTTTAAAATAGTTTTGTTTCTTTGAGTTTTTATCTTGTGGTTTTCTGCCTGTTCTTCTGCTGCTCAGAAACATGTGACACAATCCATTTTTCATTTAACATTCAAAAAGATAGCACTTATTTAAATACTATTTGATCAGATTGTTTTTGATTAAATTAAGGTTATCTTATAAACTAGAAAGAGTGTATATCCTCTATTAAAAGCAAAAAAGAAACAACTGTACCAATCCCCCAAATTTGAAAAGAAAATTAATGAATGTATGTGGTTTTTTATAGCAGATAAAATACATACATTTTTAATTACTCAAATTACTTCAATATTAAAACTACTGCTGTATGGGAAAGGAATTGAACACAAACTGTGCTTTTCTAACCCTGATACAGAGTTTGGAGAGGAGTCAATTTGGCGGGGTGTTAATATCGTAGAAGAAGATATAGGAAGATGAGCTCTGAAGCACTTACTGTAAAAGTTCTTTGTTTCTAACAGATCCAGGATCTGGACCAAGACCATGATTGTGTGTCCAGGCTAATTAATGATCCAATGTCAACTGAGCACTGAGGGTACCAGCTGCTGGTGTGCAGGCAGCAGCCTGCATGCTTTCTATTCATATCTGCATAACCATGGTGATGATTACTGTGCAATCCCAGCGTGTAGCCGGTGATGATGATTATAATGACATTCCAAAAAAGTCATTTGATACACCATTCATATGCTGTCCGAGGACCTTGCGTCGTTTTGAATGGACAATGTGTTTCTCATTTGTGTGTGGTGTCCCTCGGGGGCCTCTGAATAAAGCCTGTAAAGACAGCGTGGGCATTACTGGCTCCTTCACTTTGAACACCGCTCTGTTCCACTAACTCCCGGCTTCTCTCACCAGTGCAGTAAAAAAAAAACGGATTTCGTCTTAGCAGATGAAATAAAATAATGAAGTCAGTCAATCCCCCCCAGCAAAATAACCCAGTGATTATTGTGCTGCAGGCTGCCAGGTGCTCCACGCATATCTCACATTCAAAATGTCAGCATTATTGTGTGATGGTATCTTCGCTCCATAATAAACAGTAAGGAAAGAGTGTGTGTGAGCGAGAGACTTTTATAGAGATTTCTCACTCTTCTTCCCTGTTTCTTTGAGCAACGTTACCCGTTTATCAGTTAGTCCGGGTCCTGGCCCTTTAACTCTAATAATAACTAATAACTAATGATTCTTTGCTGGAACAACGGGATGTTACTTTGTTATCACATTTGTTCTAACGTTATATCATTTTGGTGAACGGCCTAAAATATAATAGTTCATCGTCATCATCAAAAGAAGATGTTCGATGATGATGAACAGATTCTTATTTTAATTATTCGCAAGAGATCAAGGATTTAGTGCAGCAAACGCAAAGGACACATTAGGGGTGTGACTAAGAGTATGAATTAATTATCTTCTAAAACAGATATCGATGTATCAGCTGTTGAGTCACTGTTACCATGAATGAACAGAACTTAAAACGTGCAGTGAGGAGGATTTGGGGTCGGCGGTGAGGTGGCAGATTCCAACCAACTGAAACGTGTGCCAAGCAAATGAGAAAACTATGGTGCAAACCGCAGAGGATCGCCTCCCTAAATACACACGTAACTGTGGTAACGGAAACGCAAGCATATTTATTCTCAGGTGACGTATATGTCTGCCAAAAGAATCCCCCTAAATGTTACACGTTATCCCTTTAATATTCAAAAGACAGTAAAACTCTCTCACTTTTGGAGCATTCTCTTCCTTTTAAATGAAAATGAAAGCAACACTATATTGTGGTTTGATCAATCCATATGCAGTCCATTATATGGGATTTCAGTTTGTAATGTCTACTGCACCCCAATTCTTTACAATAGTAGACGTGACAAAAAGCAAAAAGCAGATGATAACAAGCCGAATTGGAAACTGCAGGGATGAGGAAGTGAATAGTATTCCACAGCAAAACTCTGAGATATGAAGGTCAGAGTGAGGGTGGAACATGCATTTAACTTTTAATGATTTCCAGCTACAGGGAACAAAATATACCTGACTAATCACAACTGGCAGATCATTTTCAATAGATCATTCTAATGCTCAGCTACTCCATCCAGAAGGAAACTAGTCTCCTCTGGGGTCATTTAGCAGGAGTCCTCTGGCGCCACCGGGTGGCCACGCGGAGCAAGTGCAACAACAAGTTAAGCGGTCCGCTCCGTTTCGCCAGATTCTGATTCTCCGCCAAGTTGAGCCTACACGTCAGTGGAGAACCTGTACTGGTGACCGGACGTGTGCGGCGCGCGTCAGGCGGTTCCCGGATGCGCCGAACAGAAACATGGAACGGGTAGTGGTGGAAGTGCCGACCAACAACGGTGAGACGCATTGCCACCTCCGCGTCTAACGCGCTCCTCCGACCACTTATCTTAACGTCTCGTGAACGTCTCGCGCGTCGCGTGCGCACGCGCTCCTCCTCCTGTCGCGGTGACGCGCGCTCGGGGATTGACCGCTGGCGGTGTAGCTCCGTGGGTGCTATCCCAGCTTTTTACAGGCCAGCAGTGTCGTGTGTGTATGCGTATGTGCGTGCGTGTGCGTGTACGTGTGTGTGTGTGTGTGTGTGTGTGTGTGTTGGACGCTCGCGGAGCCGCGGGCTGCCGGCTGCTTGCGCTCGTGCACGACACGAGTGGAGAACAGCGGTGACGGAGCTGCTGTCGCCGGTTCTCCGCCACTTTCCACAGGGCCCCATTGTTTCCCCTCGTCGTGTAGATTAAATTGCATTTATTTAAACTTTATTGCCACACGGTCGGCCTACAAGTGCTGGGACCAGACAGCACTTCAGCATCTTGTTTATTATACATAAAACCACTGATGTTAAAATCATAAACAACAATGTTAATGCGTTTGTCATTTATTTATTTTTTCTTGAAGAAGTTCAGTGCAATTCTGATCAGGACCGTGTCTGTGAGCGATGTATACACCAGTTATTATTCATTATTCAATTGTATTTCCAATTTTAGGGTTTTCTCTCGCTGGCCACTCGACGACCCCCCGAAAGCGGCAGGTGCGCTTCTCAGCCCGCCATGACATCATCCTGCTGCGGGAGGTGGTCGCCCGGAACCCCTTTGCCTCCAAAGAGCCGGGTTAGTCCTCTTCTTCAATCCAGTTGGCAATAGAGCGCTGCATGATACCCTTCAGCCTGCAAAACACCCCTTAAATCTGCTTTAAACCTGGGATACTAGTTAACTATGTTTTCTTTGTTGTTTTGTATTTGTTATGTCACCACTGTTCTTTATATTGTTGATTTTATTTTATTGTTTACCATTTAAAGCATGACAAATACAATGTATTATTATTATTATTATTATTATTATTATAAATATGGACACTTCAAAATATCTGTCTGTTATATCTGGCGCCACAGTGAACATTTACTCCAGGAATAACTCACTTTCAAGAAATACGTCACATAACAAGCAGAGATTGAAGGGTAAACAACGTGGACTTTAAACAACATACATTTGGACACAGACACCTGTGTATTTGTGAGCTACGGCCCTTTACATCCCCATGTGTGTGAACTCATTAATCGTCGTCAGGGCGGATCTGGGCCCGCGTGGGGGAGATCATCACTGCAGCGCTCCAGGATGAGAACTTTGAGGTGGATGCCAGGAGGTGTAGGGAGAGGACCATGCTGCTGCTGGACTACTACAAGAAACAAGACTTCCCCAGTCTGCGCAGGTTGATTAAGTCACTCTGTAGTTTCACCATGATGTGCTCAGCCCTAACCCCTAAACGTTGAATGTGTGTGTGTGTGTGTGATTTTGGTGCACTCAGATTTGGAACAGAGAGGTTGTACGCTCAAAAGGAAGATCTGCTCCACGAGGTTTTGGAGCTGGAGGCGGAGAAGGGGATGCTGGCCAGCGGCGAGAACTCAAAGTACCAGGTGTGTGATGTGTTGGGAGAAATAAGAGGAGGGAAACTTCAGTGACCACCAGCGCAATAACTCTATTATTACAGGTGGTGTTTTAGTGCTGGTTCAAAAGCATCCGATTAAACTACGGTCTGTGATTCATCACAACTGAGAATACATTTTTTTTATTTGATAGATTTTATTTTAAGGGAGGATACATAGACATAACAACAGGAGAACGACAAATTTGTATTCTACAAACCAAGAAACATACGGTCAGGATAGGGGGGAATGGCGTGTGTATGTGCATGTAGGTGTGCGTGTTTGAGGTGAAAAACAATGGGGGGCAAATAAAATAATAGTTTTATGTGTCTACGCGTATATGCAACCGTGGGGTTAAATTGATTTGCAGGCAAAAAGAACACAGGAATATTAAAACTACATATATATTTTGATATTTTATCAATATTATAATATTAGAGTATATATTTTGTTCGATTCGGCATATTGTAAAATGCCAACGTCACTGTTGGTAACACTTGGTGCTGTCGCTCAGCGGTATTATTGTTGTCAGAGTGGGGTATATAATCTTGTGCTTTTCTTTGTTAGGATGATGAACTGAGAAAGCGAGCCATGGAGGAACTAACGGTCCCAGAACAAGACAAACCCAACATCACCATCACGCACACACACACTGCAGGTGAGAACTCATTCGGAACACCACACTTAAACACACCTGACAGTCACTTGATAGTTGAGGGTTAAAAGAATATTCCACTTAATATTTGATTTGACTCAATTGTTTCATCCCGCTGAGATGCAAATTGCATCAATTATGATTGATCATTCAGTTTGTAATAGTCAGTTTTTATATTCCTAGCTCTGCCGGTAGCTGAAGTCTGCACTGGGGAGCTTTTGTTTGTTTACGGTTTTATAGTGAACCGAATAAACGTTGATAAGAAAAGGAATGCAGTAGTAGTAGTAGAGTGGAGGCGTAAATGTAGGAAAATATATGCGTTTTGTAGGAATAATGTAGTGTGAATTAACCGGCTCTGGGCTGCTTAATATTTTCTGCAAGATCAGAAACAGGGCAGTGAGTGTACCTACTCAAAACACAGACGGGTCAAGGATTGTTTAGATCCCTCGAACCCTGATTTTGCTTTCCCTCTGATGTTGCTCTGTACTGTTACATAATTACTGTCCCAGCAGAACCAGAAGACGCTGGTGAGGAAATGGCAGAGGCGCCCACAGCCAAGAGGCCCTGCCAGTGCTGCTGCCAGACCTACTCTGAGATTCTCAGCTTCCTGGAGAAACGCTCGGAGGCGGAGCAACGGCTACGAGAGGAGGAGCTTTCTCTGCGCAGGGAGGAGCTGGAGATTCAAAGGAGTAAGGAGGAGTGTTTTAATTTGATATGGGGTTATTTTATCTTCCAATATGGATTTTGTTTGTAATGCATGTAATCATCCAAATATTTGTGGTTTTGTCACAGGTAAAATGGCGTTAATTGTGATTCAATTGCACCTGTGTAAATGAAATATTCGATAAAGTTTGCCTGAAAATCATTCTGAAATGTCATTTCATGTAAACATGATGAGAAGTAAACAAGGTTTGCAACCAGCTACAGTAATAAAAGAATATATGAGCCATTATTGTAAGAATGAATATGTAATTCATCAGTGAATATATATATTTATAAATATATGAGACATTTACAAATGTCAACTAAAAAAGTTGTCCATAAACTGCTTTGCTGTCGTCATTCTCAAAGGTCTTTGAAGTACAGATTGCGTTTCCTTTTTTCTCATTCATAGGTAAGATCTCTCTAGAGAGGGAACGTCTGGCAGCCGAGAGGAAAGAAAGGGAACGGAGATTTGAGCTGGAGAGCCAAGAGAGGCAGGTGATCTTGGACCTTTTAAAAGAAAAGGTGCTGAAAGGCTGACAAAACCGCATCACCTGCATCTAATGCCAGCTTCTACAAGAAGTTAACGCATTAAATACCATGGAAAGAAACATAGTTGAACTTAAACGGGGAAGGAAACCAAGGAAACAGTAAGTGAAAAGTCGAATTGCTATTGAAATCAATGGAGGGCAGGTAAGCTGTGGCTGTCCACATTTATGCAGGAATATTATGCAGGAATATACTTGTGTGTGTCTGGTGCAGACACAGTTTGAAAGCTGCAAAATGTGCATAAACCAGCTGCACGTAGCTGAGCCATTCCAATGGACACTCTTGACTGTTATTCCTTACGGCCCTGATGCATACACTGATGTGCTGTGTGTTCGGTGTAGCGGTCCACCGAGCCATTTACTGGCACCTTGTTTTCAGTCCTGTTGGCACCGTATTCTGTTCTGGAGCCAGTATGAAATTAATAGCTGAGAAAAAAGCTGTATACGCTGTATAAGTTCACGTCAACGTTATTGTGCAACTCAAGCTCAAAATGTACCAGGACGATACAATTGTTTATTCAGCAACTTCTTTTTTAATTTGTAGGTATTTTGGTTAAAGTAGGAGTATAACAATATTTAACTGTGAATTCACTGTGTATTGTCTGGTAGTAATTTATTTTACAAACAATACAAGCCAGTGGTTGTCCACTTCTATATACAGAAAGGTGTTTTTTTAACCCCTGTCCTCAGCTTCATTTGTCTTAAAGACATAGTTAACAACCATTGGTCTCATATATGGAATTCATGGAAACAATTATTTTTATTACATGTTCCGCGGTTTCATTCAATGACATTTGCTACCGGACTTCTGTATATTTTTTATTAAGAAATGCTATTTTTCTTCAAGTCCACATAAACCCGTGCTGTATAAAATTAAACTTTAAAAAAATTAAATACAAGAGTATCAAAAAATGTGTGTCCCATTTCTATCAATAGAATTCTACATTCTTAAACGGAGACGATAGTTCAATGATTCCGGGGGTGCTCCAATAAAAAATATTTTGGTCCCTTGTTAATGACAACTTTCCACCAAACATCTTTTAAGTAGGGTGACTGTGGGTGAGTGGAGAACATGGAGCCATATTATTTACCACAAGTTGATGTGATTCTTTAAGGTCTGAGTGAAATGTCTAAAACATATTTGGACCAAATACCACAAGGATTATTATTAGCGGCACCCTTTTCAGCGTGCCCAAAACAGCTCCGCTAAAAATGACCCGTTTGGGATCTTTATGCTAATGTGCTAGCTAACCTCTCGCCTGTTTCATCACGAAATGCAACAAAATAAATGAATAAATATTGGTCTGCTGATCCGATTGAAATGTAATTATTGTATAATCGGACCATGAACAAGAAGAGGCTCCGAAACAAGTTCCAAAATTTAGGATTCAACAGGACGTTTCTGAATGATTTGTGCAAATCCACAGCTTCTTCCCAACTCTAGCCGGATGATGGTCTTCATATATGAAATAAATCCAGTGCATTGCATAGCACCAGTCCTTCGGATTAGCGGGGGGAGCCAGATCTCCTCAAGTCTACCAACCTCAGCCTTGAGAAGTGTATCTCAGAGATTAAAAGTCTCCTAAAGGACAAGATGACTGAACTCCTCCAGGTCCAGGATAGCTGGGAGACAACTTGGTGAGCATCCTCCACACTGAGCAGGCCAAGAGCAGGTGGCTAGAGAAGGAGAAACATTTCTGGAGGTGGATCAGCATCTACTGGAGAACAACTGCCTCAAGTTGAAGAGGAAAACCAGAGGCATCTTTGTAGGATGGGAGACAGAGACCTGGAAATGGAGAAGATGAGGATGAAGATGGCCAACGAGAAAATTAATTGAATTGAATAGCGTCACACACTCATCCAACCATTCCACATTCTTCCGGACACCTTCACTCCCTCTCATCTCCTTTTATCCCACTCTGTGGTTTTTCTCCTGGTGTTCGGGTTTCCACACTAAACAAATAAATATTCCCCATGGGCCAAGTGGAAACACAGTGGCTCAATGACCGGTAGTGAACACAAGGGTGGGTAGATGGGCTTGGTTGTGGAATAGCCGGAACGGAGACCAGAAACTGCGGCCCAAGACCAGAGGCTTCTGGGAGGGCTTCTGGGGGATGATGAGAGGGAGTGCCCGGCTGCGGATCTCATCATTTCTTTTTGTAGATGATGTGGTTCAGAACGCATATTTGGTGACCTTCAACTCTAAATGGAGTGGTTCGATGAGTGTAAAGCATCGGGATGAGGATCAGAATTGTGAGATGCATGTAGTGGTAAAAACATTCTGCTCGGGGGGATCGGAGATCCTGACAGCACCCATAAATCTTAGACCATGGTTGTCAGCAGTAGACTGAAGGATTGTCTACTCCGGGTAGAGAGTGTGTCATAACCTCAAGTGAAGAAGTTCAAGTACCTCGTGGTTTTGTTTATCAGTGAGGGCAAGATGGAGTGCGAGTTTGGCCGGAGAATCAGAGCATTGGGGACGGTGTTGCACTCGCTTTACCACATCGTTGTAACAAAAAGAGAGCTGAGTCGGAAGGCAAAGGCATCTTTGATCCTACCCTATGGTCATAACCAAAAGAACTAGATCACGGGTACAAGCGACCAAAATTGCTGGTGTCTCTCTTAGAAATAGAGTGAGAAGCTCAGCGGTCCGTGAGGAGCTCAGAGTAGAGCTGCTGCTCCTTTGTGATGGTTTGGGCATCTGGCCCCCTGGGCTCTCCTGGAGAGGTTTTCAGGCACGGGCAGCTGGGAAGAGACCCTGGGAAAGACCCACGACTAGGTGGAGAGATTGTAGCTGTGTCCCGATTCCGCTAGGCTGCCGAGTTCACTTTTAAATGTATGTTAAGTAATTGAATTCACTCAAATATCTACTGATATACATGTTATAATATAGTATATAACATCACATCTTAGTTTATAAAATGGCTTAAAGGGGGCATATTATGAAAATGTCACCTTTTTGGAGCTTATACACGTTAATTTGAGTATCTGGCAAGTCTACCGACTCAAAAACTCTGTGGCTAGGGTTTCGTTAGGGTTCTTGTATGTCAGAGACATCATGCTTGAGTGACTGCGAATGAGCGTCCTTAACATTCTCTTGACACTATGTAATGGGAGTCTCTCTTACATGGCCTTGCAATGTACCAACACACATTCATAACAAATACACAACGAGCAGCTCACGTTACGGGGAGCCGCTGCGCTATTAACAGCAGCTTGTCTGTGGCTATTAGTAAAAAATCACTTTAATGTCTTACATTTAACACTTTAGAGGCTAACTAACATCCCAATGAGGCTGTGATGGTTTTATATAAAGTTTGTACTTCATATCATGAACAGAAATGGATCAAAGTGAACTCAGATATGAACCTAAAATATAACTTTCTAAGTTAGTAGAACAGTAGTACAAATACCGAGAATAAATACAAAAAGAAACTGCATTTGCTTTGCTCCGTTTTGTTGTGTGATTAAAAACATTCCAGAGACTGCTTGGTTCAGCCAATGAGGTCGTTGGAGGACACAGCCCAGGTCTACCGCGAAGGCTGGGTCCTACAACAATGCCACCTAGGCAATTGAGACACAGCTCGTATCTCCACACTGGCCTGGGAACGCCAGTCAGAGCTGGTAGATGTGGCCCAGAAAAGTTAGTTTGAGGTCCTGTGCTGGAACTGTTGCCCCTGTGACCCGACCCCGGATAAGCGGTTGAAGATGAGAGCGAGAGGAAGGAGTTTGGCACCCATGGTGGCCACATCTGACTACCGTTGTTGAATGCTCTAAAATAATAATCCTATTTTATTATTGCAACATGAGTCTATTGCACAACTATTTCTTACTGTACATATCTATTTATTCAGTTATTACACTTATTACATATGCACATACTCTGCACTTTTTGCTATTTTGCACTCTGGTTGGATGTTAAACTGCATTTCGTTGCCTCAGTACTTGTACCCTGTGCAATGACAATAAAGTTGAATCTAATCTAATCTAATCTAATTTATGTGTCGGTTCATGTCCTGCTTTATTTTGTAGTTTCCAGCCTCTTGTGTTTCTGAGTTAACTTCACTTCCTGCCCTGTTGTGTTTTTCTCTGTGAGTGTGATTGTCTGCTGTGTCCCTGATTGTTTCCTGCTGTGTCCAATCACCTGCACCTCCCTAGTGTATTTAAAACCAGATGTATCACTTGTCGGTTTTCCATTATTTGTTGGTGAATCGTGTTACATGTATGTACCTGCGTTTTGCTCTCTAGCAAATAAAGTGCTACTGTTAAGAAAAGTGACGGGCATGCGTCCAGATACCCAGCTGAAGAACCTGATAGAAAGAACTAACCAAAATGGAATCAGCAGACTCTCCAGATTACGGACGGCTATGCCAGTGAAATTCTGAATATTTTATTTGAGCTGACTTTACCTTTTAATTTTCTCAAACGGTGAAATATCTTAAAAATAGACACAGCAGGAGTCCTTACAACAATCAAGTGAAAATAGAACATAACCTTTTAAGCATCTGCTTTAAACAAAGTTTGACTATAACAATCTTTTCCTTCCCTCAAGCAACACTAACTCCCCCAGGTGGCTTGGGAGGGTCTCCTACGAGCAACTGTAGTCCCCCCTCATGGCCTGGAGGGTGTCCTTCTACTCTCCCTAGTCTCCACCCTAAACTCCACTTCGATCTGTGAACATTTCTGTCAGAATCACAGACTCGCGCCCTAAATGTAGTAGGCTTCGTATTGTTGCATGTGTGCTCCATCGTATTAAAAATACCCCAAACTTCCTGTGCGAAGGATGACACATTGTCACTTATTTAGTTATGATACAACTTTATTTTTTTTGTTTTAACTACGAGAGGGTGCCATGATCTACGTGGCATCAACCGGTTTAATACATGTGATGACTTGATCACCAGTGATTAGATTACGGAATGCCATGTTATGTGTGAACATGTTTGGACATTAATAAAATGGATTTTGTTTTCATCCAGTCAAAACACAGAGGAGAGGGGTGTGTGTGTGTTTCTTCTCTTTCTCTTTGCCTCTCCTGTTTATTTCCAGCTGATAACGAGATGATTTGTTTGCGCCGGTGTTATCTACTCATGCTTGTGATCGGTTCTCAGATTTTCACCTGGCCAATTAAAGTATCAAACCTAAAGAGGCTTTTTTGAGAGGAAAAAAACTACGTAGTCTGAACGTGTTTGGAAATATCCAATTGACAGTTGTCTGAATGTTTAATTTTTGTGAAGGAGGGTATTAGAATGAGAGATTAACATTGTTACAAAATATATGAAGCTGGTATATAAAAGTTATGGGATCCTTCAGTCCTTCCCGTAACTTATCATTGAAAAATATTTTTATTGGGAGTTTAAAATGGACTGATGGGAGTTAGTGTTGTTGAAGTTGTGTTTGATAGTTGTTTTTTGATAGTAATAGTCCCAATGATGCTGTATAGTTGTTTTATCTTTACTACTGCATATTTGTAATACTTATACTTTCCCTGTCTCTTTTGCTCCTACACTGCTTTGAATCATGTTAATCTCCCTGCTGTGGGACTGATATTTTTATTAGTATTACTGATATTACCATATTTTAAGAGCCCACTACTTTTTCTACTGTAACAGCTGTGGTCCCCAAACCAAAGGAAAGTCAAACCGGCCATTTGATTACAAATTACAGTTGATGTATTTAGGACAAAAACACACGGCAACACTACTTGGTGGTTGCGCATTCGTTTGAGGTTATAAAAGTCCCTTGCACCGATTGGTCAGATGTACATTTTACACGCCTACTTTGGTCTCGGTGAGCTTTCCGATTGGTTCGCTTTGAAGTCACTCCCTCAGATCGTCCACCCAATGAACGTGTGCTCGTGGCGTTTTCTCTCCTGCTCGCGACCGCATTGCTGCAAAGTTTACAGTTGGCACGTTTGAATGCGAGCTGCGGACTTTAGAAGTTTCCCCACCGTACGGGGGCCCGAGGCGGTGTTTGTGGCGCTCGTTCGTTCGTCTTCATGCTAACGCGACCCGGCGTTCGTGTTGTGGAGACGGGGAAGAGCCAGAGACCGCGGCGGCTTCGGCGCTAAAGCGGCGGTTCGCTGGCCGACGCGCGCCCTCTTGGACTTTAGTTTCCACACGGAGCGGCACGTCTTTTTTTAAACAAAGTCCCGTTTTTTTCTCCCCAAAACACGCGTGTCTCCACGGTGGAAGTCCGAACCACCCAGCGTGTGGATTTCAGTTTTGAAACCCCTGTGAAGGACTCTTTTTTTTTTTCTTCTTTTTTTTTTTCTTTTGTTTTGTTTTCCTCCTTTCTCGTGGTGCGGGGGGGAACTTAGCCGAACACACACCGGGTTGGAAGCAATATGCCCATTAGGCATTTCGGGGGTCACAGGTCACTCGTCTCTCGCTCTCAGCCCCTGAAGTTTTCCTACGGTTCCGAGAAAATGAACGCCTCCAAAGGTGGCTACCGGGTCTTCTCCGCCAACTCCTCCGCCGCCTGCACCGAGCTGGCCAAGAAGATTACGGAGTAAGTGGCTTTTGACTTTGTGTGTTGCCTGCCGTGTTCCTGACGGCGCACCTGGGGGGGTCACAGCTGCAGGTGACCCGAGCTCACTGGATGTGTGTGTGTGTATTGTAAATGCAACGCTTTTTACGGGCACAGTGTAGAACACAGGTTAGGTCTGAAGTCTGAATGAGCAATAGAAGCTGTAAAACGGAAAGCGTGGGAAAAATAAACCCGTGATTCCTATATGGCTGCCGGTGTTGTCATATCGCTAAAAGCAGTGGATTGTTTCCACGGATTGGTCCAATTGCTTGCATGCATTGACTTTGCAGTGTTTTTCCACACAACATCTTTGCAACCCTTACAAACGTTTTTTTTTAATCAACACTTAATGACTGATTGTTTTGGGGCCACCATTTTCACATGCTGTCAAATGTTACTGTAAAACCAGCTTTTTAACAGTTTGGGGTTCTTCGATGGCGTTATTGCCATTTCACTGGCCTTTCCCAGCCTGGAAATAATCGCCATTAACTTATTTCTTTCCATAAATGGGATCAAATACATTGGATTGTTTGACAGAATCTGACAGAAATGTAAACAAATTTGAGTAACACTATACAGTGTTGGCCATGTTTGTGTCATATGTGGGGGTTGGATGGTTGGTTGGTTGGTTGGTTGGTTGGGGGGGTGAGAGAGACCTGTCAATTCACATGGTTCTGATGAAGAGGAGCACGCTGTGCAGATTCTGCTCTGTCAAAGGAGACCGTGTTGGCGGGACGCTGCTGTGGCATCCGGGCGTCACTTTAAGAGGCCGTATCTCGTGTGCAGTGACTCACTAGATGCGTCCATGGGACATGAAATTAAAAACAACAAGAGGCCGCTGCCGCAGTTCCGACAAGTCGTGGCAGGACAAACTTTTTTTTTTTGAATGACTCCATCAATTATGTCCCTGTTGTTGTGAATGCTTGCAGGCAAGGAGAGTGGAACCATTATTTATTTGATCAATTACACCTGTTTGCTGCTGAGAAAAGGACGTGTAGCCGTTTGTATTCCTGTTGAGGGACACGGAACCCGATCTTGGCAAACGCCAACATCTTCTCCTCTTGGCCTCCTGAAATTTTGGGGAGCCGCTGTTTTTTATTTTATTTTATTTTTTTATTTTTTTAACCCTTCTGCCCGTGGATCTGTCAGACGGCCAAGAAAGAGGCCACGGTGCTTTCTCAGTTTTCACTGTTTGGACACTGCAGAACATTATTCAGGAGGTCACGCTGCCTCTCCCAGCAGACAAGTTGGGAGGTCCTGTGCTGGACCTGTGTCCTGTGTTCAATAACAATGCGCACACGCAAGAAATGTTAATGGCAGTAAACTCAAACTCTGCAGCATTCATGAAAGGAATTTTAGAATGATGGATGGATGTAGACTACAGAGGCAGAGAGGCCCGTCTGGCCAGATCTCAATCCTCTGCGGTGTTCTATCAAAGTCAAATCAGGTCAATGTCGGCACTGTTTGGTTTTAAAATCAGCATAACCCCCCAGGCGTACTGGTGCTCTCCAAGCCCGAGCTTGTTCCGAGTTTGACTGCGCCAAACGTCAAACATGTTTTATCCAAGTGGTTTTCGTGGATGTTTTCTCACTGGAAGCTAGTGAGAGATCTACAGTCTTGTTACATTTCCACCTCCCGACCATTTCTATACTTCCAACGGGACACATTCCGGTTTGTGTCTTTAACACTGTGGCATCTTTGTTTCTTCCCCAGGCGCCTGGGTGTGGAGTTGGGCAAGTCGTTGGTTTATCAAGAGCCAAATCGAGGTACTGCTGAACAATGGCCTCATTGCTCTCGTTTACACAAGTGTCTTTGATTTAAATAGCGGCGTCTTTGTGTCATCTCCATTTACTTTGCACTTTAACGCACAATGTCTTATTTTTTTCTTGTTTGTTTTTCAGAGACTCGAGTGGACGTGAGAGAGTCCGTCCGTGGACAAGACATCTTCATCATTCAGACCATTCCCAAGTGAGCCGGGAGGACCCTCCTTGAAGCCTTAATGTCCCTTATCTACAAATAATCACGTCGCCACATGAAACGAACACGCAGATTGACAATTTATCTCCGCGTAGCTTTTCGGTCTCTTCTCCAGCCCGTACATTTAATATTTGATCAGCTCATCAGCCCCGTTTGCTGCAGCAGACAATAATGGGTAGTAGGCCACTTCACGTCAATACGGACTGATCGTCTAGCTAAAGCCTCGGGTATTTGGGGATTTGATTAAGACTCTGCTGTCTGCGTCCAATAAAAGCAGCTTCTAAATGTATTTATTTGCAACATTTCCACACAGCGTTTATAATTGAAAGTACCATTTGCCTTAAGGCAGTCGTACACAGCGCTTATTTTATTCACATAACTAAGAGCCTGTGACAAAATTAGTATTTGTAAAATATAACTGCCAATCCAGGAAAGTCATTGTTATTATAGTCATTACATTTGTATTTTTTGTACAATTGTGACTTAAGTTCACTCCTGTTATTTTACATCCAAACTCCCACCGCGTCTCAAGGAGGCTCACCTTCTACGGGGAGTGAACCGGTAAAAGCCACCTTAACTATGGCCCTCTCCCTTCTGCCAGTGGAGCCCTGTGTGTTTGTCCTTGTTAATCAGTTATCTGAAAGGCCCACGCGGGGGACGTCACACGGTGAGATCTCCGGTTGCAGCGAGCTGCCGAGGCGACAGTGGCTACAAACGGCCTCTAGTTACACCAGCAGCAAGGGAAACTCTCCTTGTCACCAACATGACGAACGCATTTTGTTTGTCATGTTGATCATTTTGATCAGGAAATGTTCTGTGAGCGAGGATTTTTTTTTTCTTTGAAGAGAACTCCCTACCCCTTTAACTGTGCAGTTCAGGCGGTGTTTGTTTAGATTGCATGTGAATCAAAAGGCAGCAGGAGTTTAACGGGGCGTGGGATAACAGTGGGAATGAAAACAGGCTAGACAATGCCAGGCAGTGTTGACTTTATTGACAGTGGTTTATTGGATGATGACCATGTTACCTGTTCCATAAAGCCGCTGACTCGTCAACATGTCCTTCTGTAACCGCTTAGATCGTCTTTGTTGTCGACCATTGACTCGGACTAACTGCGTGCCAGCACCGTGATTTTTATCGAGTTGTGAAATCCAATGTAATCTTTTTGATTTTGTGATTTTGTGTTTTCTCCAGAGATGTCAACACGGCCATCATGGAGCTCCTCGTTATGGCCTACGCCCTGAAGACGTCCTGCGCCAACAACATCATCGGGGTCATTCCCTACTTTCCCTACAGCAAGCAGTGCAAGATGAGAAAGAGAGGATCTGTTGTCTGCAAGCTGCTGGCATCCATGTTGGCCAAAGCCGGTATGGACTGTGGTTTTTATTTTCTATTGTGTAGTTTAAATGTAAGCCCACCGGAAGAAAGCACAGTTTCGACTCTCAGAAACCTCAGGACACGTAAAGGATTTGGTCCTGACGACTCCGGACCAGTTTGTTTTTATCTGTAACCATTCAGCAGAATATTCCGGGTCGTCTACCAGCAGATGCAACTTTTTGTTTTGTGTTTTTACTTGGACATACGTTTTCTGCTCCTTCCCGATGGTCCACTAAGCGATCTGTGTGAGGCGTCTTCGGTCTCTGTAGGTTTCAGCCAGTCTTCAGCTTTAGCTGCACATAACGGAGCCACTTACTAGTCACAGTGTGAGTTAGGCTGAGCTATATGTAAACTTGACTTGACGATTCCCGCGTGTCTTCGGTGTTTCAGGGCTAACCCACATCATCACCATGGACCTCCACCAGAAAGAAATCCAGGGCTTCTTCAGCTTCCCTGTAGACAACCTCCGAGCTTCCCCTTTCCTCATCCAGTACATCCAGGAAGAGGTGAGGCTGAGGGACACGAGCACAGTCACCACACTGATGGTGTCCGGCTGGACGTTTAAATAATTACTTTTGAAAGCCGTGTTTAGGTAATCAATATTTGATCCTTTTTCCTCAGGTCGCGGACTACAGGAATGCAGTAATTGTTGCAAAGTCCCCTTCAGCTGCCAAGAGGTAAAAGGAAAACCATGAGAGCTTCCTTCCGCCCTTCCTGCGGTTTCCCCTTTGCAGCGTCCCATTGTGATTGTCCTTTTTTGTTTTGTTTCTCTGACCCAATGCGTCTCCCTCCGTCTCAGAGCCCAGTCCTACGCCGAGAGGCTGCGCCTCGGGCTGGCAGTGATGCACGGGGAGGCCCATCATTCGGAGCTGGACATGGTTGATGGACGAAACTCGCCCCCGTTCTCCCCCCCCTCCAACCGCACCACCACAGGACACACCGGCCTGGAGCTGCCATGTAAGACGACCGAGCGCGCCTCCACGACTGATTCTGTAGTCACGCTTGTACAGAAGGCTCTTTTCTTTGTACGTGTTCTATGGAGTCTGCTCTTGGGCCGGTGCCTCGCGAAAACACCCAAGAATGTGCCATAGGGAAATGATTTCTTTTGAATATTCTTTTTTTGTGCACGCTCAGCCAAAACAGCTCCCACTGTAAAACCACAGGGGCAGAGAAACTGCCATCTCCTGTTTTCACCAACAGTTCAATGAGGAGTGAAATGTTTTCTGGTCAATCAGTGTCTAGTTCTAATTTAAACTGGGGGTTGCAGGCAAACATCGACTGGAACAAAACTGCATTATCAGGCAGGATCTTATTAATTTTTAATGGAGTCTTTGCACTGCAAACAGGAAACTTCACTTCCTCGGTCTTTGCCAAATAAAGACAAACTGTAACTCCTGACCTCCTCTGCTCGTCTGCTGGGTGACGTGGCGATCTACATTCCCGGCCGGGAGATTAGAGCGCTCGAGTTTGGAGCCGTGTGTTTATCAGACTGAGGGGAGCGTTGGGTGCCAAGGCCCACTGACATCTCCAGCTCCAAGAGCCAAAGTAGAGTTCCCGGATTTGTCAAACAGCACCGTTGCCATGGGATCTTTTTTAACAAAGATATATGTGACCCAAATACCTCCTTAGTGAGAACCAGATGCAGGGCTCAAAGCATGGCCAGCTCAAAGCCAAGGTAATGCCCCAGCTGACTGCAGCAACACTCCGTGTTCCAGCTCAGCTCTGCCTCAGGCGGCGTCATAACCAGCTGTGAGATACTACAGTGAATGACATTGTGCCCCTTTTTTTTTCTTCCTCTTTTCAGCTGAATTCACCCTCCTCCTCCTCTTTCTTTCCCCTTGACTCGGAAATGTGTTTTTGTCAACTCTTCTGTCTCTTCCCGTTCACCAGCAGGAGCTGAGCGGAGTCCCACTCATACCATCTTTCTTTGGTGGAAACCACATTTGGCTCTGGTTTCCACTTGGTTATCTGGATGAATACCAATAATATATATGCGCGCAATATTTTATGGGACTTGAGGCGACGTAAGTTCCAAACTAAGGTACCGCAAGACGGCGTACTGTAGGAGTGTCAACGAATATTCTATATTCGAATAGTTATTAAACTATTCCAATGTGAAAATTACTATTCGAATGTAAAAAAACAAACACAACAGCAGCGCGACTGTCTGCTTAGCGGCCGGGCGCGCGCCTGTACTGACTATGTATCGCATGAACAAAACAGACCAGATAGGCTACAACAGGTTCATGCACTGGTTTGATTATTTGTCATTTCATGCACAGGAAAAGTTCTGTGTTTACAGGACCGCTCGCTCGGAGCGTTCAATGTCGGCACTGTAAAACTTTCAGTTTCAATCACTGAATGAAGCCTGACATATTTGGGACAAGAATCGCGACCTTTAACTGCTGGCACATAACTCTTGATCATCACTCAGCATTTGTTTGTTGTTGTAGTAATAGTAAGAGACTCGTTGTATTAATTTGTCCTGTTATTTGACGTCATTTTTTAGCAATTTTGACAGCCCTAAAGAGTGTGTGTGTGTGTGTGTGTTAACCCACCCAACAGTCTCTTCTGAAAATAGACCCAAGAGAGGTTTTGAGATCACTTGTGTGTTGTGTAACAGTTTGTCCATTGTGTTTCTATTTGTGCGATAACGTTCTTTCTTCCGATCTTTTTCCTCCCCCGCAGGCAACAGACATCTAACCCCATTTCCTGGAATAGAGCTCCCAAGTACGATTTTGATGCCTCCTGCATGGAATTAATGGGCTTCCACTTCATTTTACATCCAAACATTCAATAATTACAAACACTTGAGTGATCAGGTTGAGGCGGCGATGAAGACTCAACTTGCTGCGTTTATATAGACTGTAACCTGCGTTCCTACCACCCAGTGTCACCAGTTACATCCCATCACCATTGTTTTTAAACCCGCCACCACGACTAGTCTTGCTGCTGAGGTGTCATAGGAACTTTTGATTTCTTAAACAATACTTAACTGAACACCACCATGCCAAGTGATGATGACCCTGCTGGAGGATTTGCCCTCATAGCATCTTTTTGCTTGGAGTTTCTTGGCTTCCTTTTCTACCCCTTTCAACTATCCAGAAAAGCTTTTAGTTTTGGAAACCGATGCCTTGATGGATGGTCTTGTGGGGGATTTGGGAAGTGACCTCTGACTGGTCCTGCTGGTTGGAAGAAGGTTTTTGACATGTTAAGGGCCCCACTGGGACCCAAAAAGTCAGATGTGGTGGGCTGTAGACCTGGATTGATTATCACTTGAACTCCTCAAAGTACTCAAGGTAATTAAAGTCCTGCCTATATTGAGAGATTTTAAATCTGGGAGACTTGGTTAAACTCAAAGATTAATTATGTGCGTAACATCAATATTCTAAAGTGTTCTTAAAAGGTGTTTGATTACAAATAATAATCAATCCTGGTCTGTGGTTCCTAAAAAGCGCTCTACTCTACACTCCGCTATCTCCGGCTAAACCCAAAGCTTCCACACATTCGCCCCATGTAAACAAGTGTGTTTCGGTCTGCGTTGGCCTGCCGCTGTTGGATCGGTAGATGGAAGCTTGCTTGGGTTGAGCTGTCTCGCATGGCGTTGGCAGGTTTTTAACCAAATGCCTTTTCACCGACCCATCCCCGAGTTTACCTTTCCCCAAGACTCCCCAATGGAGCTGGAGGACAGACATCCCCTCGCCCCCCCTCCCCTCGTCTTTCTTTGGAAACTAAACTTTCTTTCATTTCATCTTTCAGTAATGATGGCAAAGGAGAAGCCACCAATCACTGTCGTTGGAGATGTGGGAGGCAGAATCGCCATCATTGTTGTAAGGACGCCAACTTTCATGTCTCTTCAAACTATTCCCTAATTCGTTTTGAAACAGGATTATTTGAGTTGGAACGATTCAGTGGGAGGAATCGTTTCATTTCTTTGGTTGACTGGTTGTTTGTTATGCAAGCATCTGTGAAGGATTATTTTTCCATGTGGCATTTTGTTAGTTCTAGTTTGAGTTCTGTTCGTTCATTGCTGATGTTTCCCTTAAATGCAGTTTATTTATGCAGCTTTTTTGAGTTGATCAGAATAATTTTCGTCATGTCTCCTCCCCAAAAACGCTATCCAACGATGTATTTTTCTTTTTTCTTCAATTGCCTACCTCCATGGCCAATTTCTCAGGATGACATCATAGATGATTTGGAGGACTTTGTTGCAGCAGCAGAAATCCTGAAGGAGAGAGGAGCCTACAAGATCTACATCATGGCTACACACGGCCTGCTGTCCGGAGATGCTCCAAGATTAATAGAAGAGTCTGCTATCGACGAGGTAAAATGAGGGGAACTAGAGTTCAAGGGTGCACTGGAAATGTACGTCAGATTTGAACTTGACTATTAACATGACCGTTTGCAGAGGCATAATACATATAACTTTAACAAAATGCGTCATGATGAGTTCAAAGGTTCTGTGTTTATGCCAGTTTGCATGTTGCACTCTTCCTCCTGTGTCTGGATAGTGTAGATGGAGGCTTCAGCGTTTGTGTGCCGTCTGACCCCAGAACGGTGACGTTTTGAGGCGGATTTCTCTCTCAGGCAGAGCTTGGCTGTAAGCCGGTCCCGCATCCCTAGCGTTTAACAATCGGCACTGGAGTCTCATATGTACTTTAAACGATTTTATACCCATGTGAGTGTTTTAGTTTCTGAATTCAGCCTCCGATTCTCTGTAATGGAAGTTAGTCTGAGGAATGATTTTAACTATTGGGGAATCTTGTCATGCCAGCGAGGTTTCGACATCACTAACGACTCAAACATAGTGGGGGATTGTTTGTATGTTATGTGATAACCTCATTTCCATGCGTTTGTATTGCAACAATTATTCCCAGATCAGATCCCGTCCCAAGCAGCCCAACTAATCAAAAACTTGTGTTTGGATATGTAAAGTTGTCGAAAGTCAAATTCAGAAAGCGCCTCATCGTTTAGCTCAAGAGTCGCAGTGGATCCTGACAGCCTTGAGTCAGGGCACCAAAGTCCCCATGACATTGTGCACTAAGGCTGTCGTATTGCGCCTCCAGGTGGTGGTGACCAACACCGTTCCTCATGAGGGGCAGAAGCTTCAGTGTCCAAAAATCAAAACCGTGGATGTCAGCATGGTCCTCGCTGAGGCCATCCGGCGGACCCACAACGGGGAGTCCATGGCCTACCTGTTCCGCAACATCGCTGTCGACGACTGAGGCAACGCACACTCTCCCCTCCCCCTTCTCGCACACCGAATGCTGAACCCGTCGGTCCCGTTTGTTTTGCTGATAAACATGATTGGCTATATTCACTGCATGTAACATATGAAGCGACTCGAACTGCTTTATTCCTCATGTTGCAAAGTGGGACCGCACAGACCATACAAACTGTTTCACTTCACTAATACTGTACCTGCTTCCTACCGGCTAAAAACACCCGTGATACAATGTATCCTGTGCAGCCTCTCGGCACGCTGCAGAATTTGGCAAATAAAAAGATTCATCTGGAGTCAATTTCCGCCATGATCTCATTTCTTCCCCTTGTGCAGATTTAAAGTGACAAACGCTTCAACGTGTACCAATAACTTGATGAGCCTCGCACAGCACCGTAGGTGAAGTGTAAAGATGCTTCTGAAACCGCGCGACATGTACGGTCGGTGGTTTCACACCTGAACTTCAGCTTTCTGTGTGTTTTCAGTCACAGCCGGGGCTGCTTGCTTCATAAAGCATGACATTTCAAACTGTAGTGTTCCGCTTCGCTAACGTGAAAACGCTGAAAAGCCTCGAGCCAGAGGAGCTCTTATAAGGAAATACTATTCGGGTTTTTTTTTTTTTTTTTTTTTTTTTTGTGTAATACATGCTGCGTTCCAGGGTTCCATGGCAGCAATGTGCCTTTATTGGGATTTTGTTTTTGATTTAATTTAGCGAGTGTCTGTTTTTGTGACGTTCTTTAACACAAAAGGTAAATGAATCTTCTAAACTAGTCGGATAGTAGATGGATGCCGAATGATTACCATGAGTCTCTCTGGATATAAAAGAATATAATCACTTACAAACCTTTTCAAATTACAGGTTATCATTTCCAAATCTAACATCTGAACACAATGCAATTGATTTAAAGATGCATTTATTACTACTTTTTACTCGGGACTCTAATGTGTGACTTTGTCGCCCTCACATCACAAGTCCCAAAGTAGACTGACTGCACAATAGATATGAAAGTTTACTCTTCACCAAAGGCAGAAGAAAACCATACTACTCTGCTGACATTTCATTACATCCACATACACACCATTTAATCATCTTGCTGTGTTCCACCCAGGACCCTGAACTTGTTCCAAACGCCTCAGAGTCTCTTTTAATCTGCTGAGGAGCTTTGACCAAGTCCAGGGGCAAAGACGTCTGAGATAATGAGCCACGGCCTTTTGAATGGTGTCCCCTCCTGCGGGAAAAACTCTGACCTCTTGACGCTAATAGAAGTAATACTGAAGTTAAAGTGTGACACGCAGAATGATCCGGTAACTTGTCTGATATCCAGAAAGGAACTCTACAAGGTGACGAATCCACGCGGCCGCGTGTCCGAAGCTTCTGCCGTCCCTTTGCAAGTGAACCAGAACTCAGTGCAGAAGTTTTAAATGTGAATCCTGAAAGAGGAACTGCCCACAAACGTCTACTTGGCCACTTCCTCAAATAGAAAACAGGAAACTTTGTTCAGTCTAATCTGATGGCGTGGACCTGAGCACTTCAACTGTCTCCGTGCTGCAGGTTTGTTTGAAGGGGGAACTGTGCACCGCCGCTTCAGGAACTGCAGATATCACGTTTTTTCTACGTTACTCAGAATCGCAACTGAAGTATTATAATTTCATTTTTTTTCCTCAATACTCAAGGTGTTTTTTTTGAGGGGGGGGGGGGGTCCAACTTCTGCTCCCTCATTCCTGGAGCATCAAATGTCACACCTGCTTTTTTTTTTTGCAAAGGTTTGGACACACTTTCTCATTGAATGAGGAATGTAAGGTGTGTTTCATGCAAGAGTCAAATCTAAGGGCCAATCAATGAAGCCTCAACAGTTTGTGTACAAGCTGTCCGTCAATCCAATTGCACCATCAGCTCAAATTGTTTAACCCGTAGTATTAACACTAATAAGAATATCCAAAAGTGTGTTAGGTATCAACTAATATATCAGTGCAAGTTTTTTTTTTTAAGTGGGTGTCATGTGCGTTTCTCATCGGCAGATGGGGACAGAGATCTTTTTATTGCAGATGGTTTAGAAATGTAGAGCTCTGAGACATGAATTCAGTCCACCTCACAAAGACATTTTTTGTTTTGAGTGACTTATTTCAATAACGGGTTAGGATCAATATCTAGAATGAAACGGAATCATTTCCATACCACCTGTTGGCTTATTGTCTTGACTACATGAATGTGATGCATCTGTACTATTAGACCAACGTGTAAATGCTTCCAATGTACTTTGTTCATTTTACAATCTGTTTTATCGTCCTCTTACCCTTCCAGCCAGAAAGCACATCGTAATTAGGATACGGCTAATCCAATTCATATCAATTTGACCTGCGATATAGTAATATATTCTGCCGCTATAAAACTGTTTTTGTATTTCTTCATCAAGTGGTGCATTGACACTGTTACCGTGTGGAAACTATTTACATGTTGATGCGGTGTTGATTTACGTTTTATAACCAACCTCATTTACATGTGCGTCTCATTGATTTATTTATAGCCTCTACGTCTATAAACTATTTTCATACATCAAATCCTTTTTTTCTTTTATTAGTTGGATCCACATTAAATTTACAAACTTCAAAGAACCAGCAAAACAACATGTCAGTATGGCATTGTAAAAAAGAAAATACAAAAATGATGAGCAAGAAAAAAAAACACCTAAGATTGTTAAGAAAAACACAAGTGCATCGACAGATTCTATTTCATTTCAACACGTTTTTTAAAAACAAGTAATATAACGCTTTATGGAAAATTGATATTGCATAAAAAAACAACAAACATGTGCTACATACACTGAATTATTAAATTTAAAACAATTTACATTACACAATTTTATTTTTACGCACTCACAGTACTGTTCGCAGTCAGCTGTTAGCCACATTCCACATCTTGATTTAAGTGAACAATTACATTTAAAAACCCCAGAAAGGTACATTGATCCAAACACTAGCAGCTTGTCACCAAATAAGCAGCAACAACATTACATTGACTGAACGGCTGAGTAATTAATGCATCCATCCGTCCACTCGCAGTCTGCTCAGGTCACCTCTCGGTACCATTGACCTCCTCTCAGGTTTCGAACACTGAAGTGTTGCTGGGCCACGATCCCTTATCGCACTCGACGCCCCCCGCTGACCTTAGTCCGGGCTTCTTTCCCCCTTTAATCTCTTTCTCCCAGCGCTCCCGTCTTCTGTCCCTCCGTGAGACTGGACACCACCACTAATTCTTCTTCTTCTTCTTTCCCTCTTGCCGGTCATCATTAGGACAGGATGCAGCTGTTGGTCTTGTTCATGGGCGGGCGGAAGTTGAGGTCTTTGGGGAAGGTCTCCCTGCGTCTGCGCAGCGCGGGGCTGAGGCGGCTGGGCAGGTTGGCCTGCTGCAGGAGCTCCTTGAACACCTCCACCACGTTGACGTTGTCCTTCGCCGACGCCTCCACGTAACTGTTGTTCCACTCCATCTCCACGGTGGACAGCACGTCCTCGTTGGACACCCGGCGCTCCTTCTCCCGGTCCGTCTTGTTGCCCACCACCACGATCGGCGTGTTCTTGTCCTCCTTGATCTCCAGGATCTCGTCCCGGAGGGTCTTGACGGCCTCCAGCGACTCGGGGTCGTCCACGGCGTACACCAGGGCGAAGGCGTCGCTGTTCTGGATGGAGAGCTTGCGCATGGCCGGGAAGGAGTAGCTGCCGCTGGTGTCCAGGATCTCCACCGTGATCTTGACCCCGCCGATGTCGTACTCCTTGCTGTGCAGCTCCTCCACCGTGCGCCGGTGCTTGGGCTCAAACGTGTCTTGGAGGAAGCGTTGGATCAGGGCCGTCTTGCCCACTCCTGCTGCTCCCAGAAAGACGAGGCGCACCTGCGTCTTCTCCTTCACCTCCAGAGACATGTCTTTCTTCTGGAGGGGGATTTTCTGTCAAAACGAGAAGAAAAGAAAATGCCCCACAAAATCCTCAGCGGTCGGAACAGCTGCTGCTACACTAACTTCTACCTTTCTAGATGGTTTCCTTGAGTATCTCCCCTACTGCAGCTTCTTGTGATTCTTCATATTGAAGTTCCTTCTTTTCCTTTTGAGTGCTTTCTTTCCTTTTTTTTCGGTCAGTGGCTCTCTGTTGAAGCTCCTTAAAGTCGCTGCTCAGATGCTCCTGTGGTCTCATCCACACAGCTGCCTTTTATTAGTGTTTTGGTGAGAGAGCTTCTCTGCCCTCGTGCAGCTGCAGCCAATCAGCGGAGGGCAGCCTGTAGGAGTGGAACAGCCAGGCAGCCAATGACCAAAGGGTATGTAAATCAGTGTAAGCGGCCAATTCAGGAGGAGAAAGGAGTCGAGATCTAAACGGCAGGCAGGCACACAAAGACGTAACGACTGATGTCAGAATATCCTCTTTCGATTACTGCTTCTATTTGGATTGTCTGCATTAATCAAATACATCCAGCTCGGGTGGATGATTAACGAAATCCGCGGTTCCTCTTGATGAGATTGGATCATCCTGAAAACAAACAAACCCTCGGGAAGCTGCAATATGTGTCATAAATTATTGTAATTACTGCTCTGACATCCCTTTGTATGACTGTGTTTGGCTTATTCTGCAACCAATATAGGGCTCCATTAAAGACAGTGACAGGAATGAGAACCGGCACATACAGGGAGTCATATTCAATTTATATTTATTTACTTTCTTCTTTACTTTCTGTGAATGAGAACCACTACCACAAAGAAGGGTCAATATAAACGTTGACTGAATCCTTGGTGTCCAATTAGAGACAACGCCTCGCCTGCGACTGTCTGAGAGCGGATCCCGCCCGCCTCCGGTATGTCACTCTGTCCTTGAGGAGTGACCCTGACTCGTGATCCTCCTGACTTTCCCTGTGACTCCAGACTGTCACTCTCCCCGCCTAGTTAGGTTCGCCAACAGCGTGGAACCAGGCCGAGCCTCCCAGCCGCACCAACACAGGCTTTTGATATGTGCTCACACGCTGCAGTAGCTCCCTACTGGATGGGCAGTGGAGCAGTGCTAAACATTGTGAGTTATCAGCTGTGAACTCACCTGGTCTCATACACGCTGCTGTGGAATTTAAAGCAGGGCTCACTGTTCATGCAGTTCAGTGAGAAAAACATGCACATTTAGGTGACCACCAAGTCTGCAGCTGAGAATTCTAACAGTGCTGAAAGTGCTAATAGGGCTAGCAGTGCTAACAGTGCTGAGATTGCTAAGTGGTGAGATTACTAGCAGTGCGAACAGCGCTAACAGGGCTGAGAGTGCTAACAGGGCTAACAGTGCAAGCGAGGTGCTGCTCAATTGAGTTATCAGCTGTAGCCGCCATATAAGAGAAGTGCAGAGCGACACCTCACATGCACTCACATGCACTAAAAGCATATATTTGCAATAACACCTTTGTAGGTATTATTATTCATTAGAAGATTTTATATAAATGTTGCCTAACTGGGACACTACTGAATCCCGCCCACTTCAAGCCATTGCACAGACAACGCAGAAATTAACCAAATAATGTGAAATAACCTAAACTTTTCAGTATTTGGCACTCAATTGCGGTTTCCTGAACACAACCTTTGATTAATTATCATTGTGAAAATAGGTTTCTAGGGCCTAAATTAATTTAGTTGTACCTTTCCAAATCTAGACCTATACGCTACTTACGTAAGGACGAGCATTGTGTTTGGCTGTTGACATCGCTGAGTAATTTTTGTGAAAACATGTTGGCTATAATATTGTTCCCTTCAACTTAAACTGAGTTTAACTGGAAGTACTTGTAATGCTCTCATTCTTCTCTAAACAAACCACTGCAACATCTAAATCCCTTTCATTTGGAGGTTTGTTAAAAGATGGTTTGCTGCGAAAATGTATGAAATGAAAAACGGAAGTAGGTATACATGAAGCAGATTAAGCCACAATTGATACACAAGGTATAAAATGAATGTATTGGATAACACATGTGTATATATAACATTATGAATTATCAGTATATGCTGTGAGATCTGAGTTTTCTTTTCTAACTTCCAGTTAACAAAGCCACTGTTGCATTTTGCATATCTTCATATCCAAGTAAAAACATTCCCCATCCAACAAGAAAATCAGTACCATTAAGACCTAAAAGTGAAACCAAAAGTGAACCTCCATCTGCGACTGTTGGATTCATTTTCTTGTGCCTCATGCGCCATTATGTCTCATATCCCAGGGCTTTCTTTTTTTTTCTTCGTCCTCCTATTTGCGGTCGTGTTGCCCTGTGGAGATGACTATCACCAGATGGCATTGCCTGTTGGCTTGATAAGGATTTATAGACGCGTGCAAATACGACATCACATTGTGAGAATACCTCGGAGGGAGGTTACTCTTACAGCCTGTAATTATTTCAATTCACAGCTCTACGTACATTCTGTTTTCCGATACGGGGATCGTCTTGTATGCGTTATGCTCTTGTCATTAAAATGCTTAGTTTTGTTCAGCTGGCAGCGCCTGTCCAACTGGTTGCTCTTGTCTCTGTGAGTTGTGTCGTGACACCGACTCAACGTGCTTTTGATGCACATGCCACCTCGCTCACTCTTTCTCTCCGCGTTCCTTGTAATTAGCCTCCCGTTGCGTCAGTGTTGTGTTTTCTCCCACCTGTGTTCATTTCTTCTTCATACAAGTCTTTTTTTATTTTTTTATTTTTTTTTATTAGTTTTGTGTGTGTTTTTATTTGGCTTGGATTTCCTGAGTGGCCGTCAGGCCAGTATCTATGGATACGGTACCTGTATCCGCAGACCCTTCGCTCCCTGAAAAGGAAAATTTACCAATAAGAAAACCAATTATAGAGGAGAAAATGGAATAAATCTCAAGAAGAGTAAGTGCAGAGCAACCCTGCTGTAGGAGGAGTACGCTGCTGTCATCCTGTCAAAAGGATGCCATGTCGAAAAGATGATGAGGATGTGGAAATGTGACAGATGCCAAATATAAATGTCGCCCCGTGTGTGAATTAACCTTCAATATCTGCTCTCGCAATAGCGGAGACCAAAATATAGGTGACAGTTTAATATAATTTAGCTGTTAATGCCCCCCCCCTTCACCCCAATGGAAATAAACCAATAAATAAACAACCTACAAACTTGAATCTTGAAAGACTTGAATCCTAAATTGTGGATTTCTTTTTTTTTGGTCCTCTCGCTGTTAATATTGACCATAGTGGCTGACTGCTTGATCCTGATACACCGTTATGCAATATTATATTACAATAATGCTAATGTAATTACCCTTGACCTAACCTTTTGGGATCGGTAATCTGGCTACGCTGCATTGTCGTGCAAATGTGAGTGAAAACCCTCCATTTAACACATTGGTAGTGAGTAAATGGTCAAATGACAGTGGAATCAAGTGTGAATTCATTTAAACATGGATTGACAAACATCCACCTATTAATGTGTTTTTGGGAAACCGGGACCCTCAATTACGCCCTATCAGAGCGGAAGGCAGAATAGCGCACTCCATTGATGTCGGCTGTGACGGTAAAGTCTTTGATACGGTTCTTGGGCTCGTTCCAAACGGCTGTCGGGCAGCTCGGGTTCACACGCTCGCCTTGTTGGAGCAAATTCAGTTGCACATGTCCAGAAGTTGAGCAAATAGCGAGTAATAAACGCTAACCGGCGAATTGATACGATCTTTATGGTTGTGTTTTGACTTTACAGCTTTTGTGGGAAGGACGTTTATTTCACGACTTCCTCAAGTAGAAAATAAGCATCAATACCAATTTTTTGGGTCCCATTAGTTAATTTACCATCAACGTAGGTGATAAAACAAACATCTTTGCTGTGATTACATTTGGGATTGAGGATATAATTTAGTCTAGTCAAATAAATCACTAGATATGATGGGATTGTTGTGTGCCGTGTTTCGTCATCCTTTTCTCCTTCACTCATGCAATTCCACAAACCTTCCCACTAATGCTTGTTTCTTGAGGCCATGCAAACTTCTTCAGCCTCAGTTGCTCCGTTGTGTATTATGGACGGCCAAACCTTGGGCTAATAGTTTTGGCCTATTTTTTGGTACTAAATCCCACAAACGATGAATTCAATATACGTATAATCTAAAGCATATAATTACATATAAAGTGTATAACGTTTTTTTTTCAATGATGAGTTTAAAATCATAATATCGATAGGGCCTGTACAAATGTCAGACTCCTCTCCCTTGTCATATAACCAACCAAAATCCAGGAAGTATGTGAATAGATTATATATTCAAATTTAGCATGTGCGCTGCATGTGTTACTGCCTCCATGACTCGTAGGCATTGTGTTAATAAAGCAGCAACTTCCACATACTGAATACCAGGGAAGCATGTTCAGGTGATTAATAGATGTAGTGATGGATGAATAATGGAAGAATTCACACTGCATTTTAACATTTTGTTTGACGCTATCTGGCGATACTGTATTCATTTTCAAAATTGAACTAAAAACCACTCAATACTTAAGTGAGTAAGTGACGAGTAACATTTCATCATTTTGAAAGCCTGGCAGGCAGATTGGCTTTCATAAGAACTAAAATGGTTTATCTGCATGTAAGCATGAAATAGGATTATTGTAAAGTGGCAATGAAACGCTCTATGATGTTACGAAAACGTGCGAGATGACCTTATTCACCCAGAAACGTCTCTCATACGTTGGGAGGGCGACAGATCGTTGCAATCGTCTCCACAGTCACTTCATTCACAACTATTTGTGGTGACGGCTGTCACTTCCTTTTACTACTGAGGTGCAGCTGTGTATACTTTCACGAAGACAAACTAGCCTGTCAGTCAAACCGCGTTAGATTATCCAAAAGTTCGAATTAATGTGCCCTGCTCTATAATCGTTCTGTTAATCCCTCTATAATAATTTGCTTGTTTAACTGGGACTCAGCGCTCGTATTCATATGTCTGCCTCGAGATGTCCCAGTTGTTTGTCCGATGGGAAAACGGGTAAAGTAGGGAAAGAATATTACAGCCACTTTAGGTAGTTTGACGGTGCAGAGGTCCCTGAACACCTTGTTGATGACGTCCATTTCTTTCTTTCTCTTTTTTTTAAAGAACCTCAGATTGTGGATCAAGCATGTGCGAGTCCGCAGCAGTCGGGCGGCTTGTCGGTCTGCATTAAGCTCAACGGTGATTAGTTCAATCAGTCACATAT